TTAGTGGGTATGACTTTGGGCATGAAACATCTGACGAGACGATGATGTCATCACCTTCTAGAATGCCCAATCAGCGCTTCTAGAAGAACGAATGGATCAACCACACGTTTCTGCAATTTGAATTTGAATTAAACTCATGTTTTAAGATATTATTTTAAATATTATATTTTATCTTATATTTGTTTTAGGTATTTTAGTTTAAATAGTTTTAAGTATTTTAATTAATATTTATTTCTTTATTTTAGGAATTATCTTTACCTTGTTTTTAGGATTTTGAAAACTATAAATACTCTCTCAAAGTAAGCCTAAAAATATATCTCTCAACAATTGAGAATTTACTCTTCTTCTTCTCTCTAACTTTATAAAATTTTCTCTTTTATTTCCTTTCAAGTTTTCAATTTATTATTTTATTTTAAAGTTTTGTTTTCAAATATGTTAAGTATGACTTTGTTATGCTTAGCTAATTTTCTTTTAAGCCGAAGGCTAAAGCGAAGACTCAATTCCAGATGTGAGAATTGTAAGACACTTAAATTGCTTCGGATGTTTCTCTATGTTTTTTGGGCTTATTTTCAAATCAAAATGATTTTCAAAATTAAAAATCGACGTTAGTCTGGATGTTGTTATGGTTAACGTGGGAGGAAGGATCGGCTTATTGAAGCACATTCGACTTCCTGTAAACACATTTAGCAAAATTGTTTGCTAAGAGGAAATTGAGTTCGGAATCAGATATTGTTGAAACAACATAATCCGCGTCAGTAGCTTTTCGAACTTCAACGTTTTAAGATCTACAACAGTGTTGTTGCTTAGATCAACTCACAAACCGAAATTAAAGAGTGCACTTGGATATTCGGTATACAAAACATAGTTACAAGGATTTGTCTTTGTAGACAAGTAGTCGACGTGAATCTTGAAGTAGATCTATTTCGATGATCCGAGGAATTTGAGGCAAAGCTGAAGCCTGAGGCTATTTTTTACCATAAGTTTTTTTTATCTCAATTTATTTTATTTATTTGTTTGTTTATTTAATTTTTATCTCATTTTATTTTTTAAAAAAATTTAAAAACTCCTCAATTTTATATTTATCCTTATCTTATAATTATTATTTATTTATGTATTTTATTATTTTATCATTATCTTTCATTTTAAACGATTTATATTTAATTATTTATTTTATTATTTTATTATTAACCTTTTATCTTTATCTGAAATTCTATCTTCATCTAAATCAAAAAGTCCACTAAATCAGAAATATCAGAGTCCCCGTGGATCGACCCTGCTTCTCTATTCTACTCTCACTTTTTACTTATTAAGAAGCTGAAATTATTTTAATAGTAAAACGATACATATCAAATTGTGTTATGATAGGTGCAGGCCTTTTCCAAAGATGGACATTCTTGACGTTTTCTCAATATCTTTTATTTTGGTTATTTTAATATATTTCTTTATATTAGCCTACTTTTGTCTTTTAGTTTTATAAGATCATAGGCTTATCAACCTTTTTACTTTTAATACAATTTCTTGTCTGACAAAAAAAAATACTTACCAATATCATTTTGAACAAAATGCTTGTAAAAGAGAACATAAATAAATGATTTCATCATCATGTAATTTGATTTAAAATCAGTTGGTAATCAATTACATTTCGTTTTACAATATTTCAAAATCAGTAGTAAACGTAAATCTTAATTTAAAAATTGACTTGACTCGTAAAATTTAATTAATATTATAATTATTAAATTTGATTATTGATAAATTTATTTGACTAAATAAAATAATGTATAGTACCAACTTCAATAATAAATGAACACTTTATACGATAACAATTGAACTATAATAATAATATTTAATTTGGTAAGTTTTAAAAGTTATTTGATAATTCATGTTTATATTATTAACGACTGTATGAATGACTGTATATACTATTCTTGGGTTCTCTTTCTCTCCATCGAACAAATCGTCATTGTTGTTTGATCTCACTCTCGATAACAATTAAGCAAATTTGGAGCGTATTAATGTATTTTGGAGGATGTTATGATGATGGGATTATCAGTAAACAGTGAGCTTTAAACTCAAAACAACCCTCAATGAGTCTGTTCCAGCTGTCTTAGGCATCAATTCTTAGGTCGTCAGCAATAGGGATGTAAACGGGCCGAGTCGAGTTCAAGTATTGTTGAACTCGACTCAATTCGAAAATTCTAAAATAGAGCTCGACTTAGTTCAAAAACTCGCGAGCCTAAAATTTTCAAGTTCGATTAGAACTCGAAACCATGATTCGAAACCTCGTAAAAGTTTAAAATAAAAAAAAATAAACTTAACTCGGTTGAAGCTCAAACGCAACTCTGAACCTTAAGTATATGAAAACCTTATACTGCATTTTTTTCAAAAAAAATCAAAACATCAAATTTAATATTATTAATAATTTTTTAAATTAATATATTATTTTTTTCGAGTTGTTCGTGAGCTTTTCGAGTTGAGTATCAAGTAGCTCATTTTGACTCGTTAAGAATTTGAGTCGAGTATTTATCGAGCTTTGACCGAATCTATCTCGAGTAACTCACGATATGTCTCGTCTCATTTACGGTCCTACTGACATTAAAGGTTCATTTCACTTGGGTTCCTCCCAGATCAATGCTGAAATTCAGACATTTTCTACTGTGGAACAATAAACAGATTCGCACCATTACATGTCTAGTTTTGCATTTAAACATAGGCAACAACAATTAAACAACAAGATAACATAATCATTTGTCTCAAAAGGTTTACTTACAATTCACAATTGTTATCTATAGAAGAGCTATGCTTCAACAAGGATCATCTTTTTTGCTTTTCTTTTTCATGAGCCCTTATTCATCTGTATTATTATAAAAGTTCTGCATCATCTATTGCTCAAGTTTCTTGAGATTATATGCAATGAAAACTCACACCTTGTTGGGTTACCAAGACATTTAACAGTGTGTTTATCATTTCTTTTAAAATATTTGAGTAAATTACGTATTTAGTCACCCATCTATTTCCGTGATTTTGTTTTGGTCACACAACTATTTTTTTTAAATTATACATAACGTTACATTTTGGTTCTCTTTTGGTCACATGTTGTTAAAGAATTAATGGTGATGTTGACGTGTCACCATAAGATAAATTTACGTCATCATTGAAAAATATAAAAAAAATTATCATGTCAGCAGTTCTGTTTATCAATAATGGTGGGTGATTAAAATGAAATCAAAACATAACATTAAATATAATCCTAAAAAATAGTTGAATGACCAAAACAGAACTACACGAATAGGTGGATGACTAAATACATAATTTACCCAAAGTATTGTTAGAGTCAAAATCATTTGGGTAAACTATGCATTTAGTACCTAAACTAATAGTTTTGATTCGTTTTAGTACCTAAACTTTTATTTTTTTTCAAAATCATACTTAAAATTTACTTTTTATTTCATTTTAATACCCGCCGTTAAGTTTTGAAAAAAATTAAAGTCTAGATACCAAAACATGTTTAGTACCTAAATCATACTCAAGTTTTGAATTTTTTTTATTGAAAATTTAGGTACTAAAATGGATAAAAAAATGATAATTTAGGTACAAAACGCCTTAAGTTTTTAACAACGGGTACTAAAATGAAACAAAAACTAAACTTCATGTATGGTTTTGAAAATTTTGACAGTTCAGTTACTAAATCTAACCAAAACTAATTTATGTACTAAATGAGTAATTTACCCAAATCATTTTTAGACTTACCCGCAGCTCTCCTTAGAACAATCCTCACCCTCACTTCTTTCCCTTACCCAAATCATTGACTGAATTACCGTTAACAAGATCATGGCTGATCTGAGAAGTTGCCATGGAATCCAAAGAAACTCGTCTTCTCATAGGTTGAATCCCATCCTCATTTTCGGCTTCGTTTCCCTCATTTCCAACACATGTTTCCTCTATTTCACTTGTTCCACCACCAGCTCCTCTCTCAGATTCATCCACAACCACCACTCGGGTTTATCCAACTCCTCCGGAGTCTTCATTATTTACTCCAGACGAAGACGATCATCCTCTGTTACGGGCGTTAGAAACAATCGGTGCTCGGCACATAGGACAATTGGTGTGCGATCTAAGCTAATTATCAATACAAGTGAAGTGAAAAGCATGACTACAGTTGGGAAACAGTCTAAGAGTCTCGTCCTCTTGGAACTCGTTCAAGCAAAAACAGCAGTCCGTTCCTTCAACAAGACCCTCACCTCTCCTATACTTACAAACCGCGATGGAAAGGATGGAGGGTTGTAGACCAACCTAGTTGATGTACCAGATGGGATGGCCAGTTATGGGACCATGATCTTCATCAAGGAATTCGCCGCAGGTCGTTTCCTCCGATCATTAGCCCGTTGCCTGGCATGGTAAAACTAAACAGCATATAGCCAGAAAAGTGGCGACAAGAAACGTTGAAGTTACAATCAACATGTTGGGTTTCTTTGAATGAGAAACGTAATCAGGACTCGGAGGCGTGTATTGATAGACATAAGGAGGATTGGAGGAGCAAACACCAGGGCAATACTCATAACATAATGGAAGACAGTAGTTGGAACAAAGATTGCAGTTAATTGTTGAGGTTTCATTTGTGGAATCAGACGTTAACTTTCTATGTTGGAAACCCATTTAGAGGAACCAAAAATAACATAAAAAAAAAACGGGAAGAAAGAAATCAAAGAGGGTAAGGAGGAGTAGGAGAAAACTAGGGCAGGTTTGGTGGTTTCAATCAACTACTTTAATTTATTGATGAAGAAGGTTGAAATAACTTAAAAAAATTATACTAATAGAGAATAGAATGACTTTTTTTTCTTCTTTCTTTTTGGATCTTTTCTGCGTTTGTTTCCGACTTTCTTGTGGTTTGGATGGCATCTGGTTTTTGGAATAACACCAGCATGAATGAATTTACAGAAGTATTGATAAATACAAACGAAATTCTTCTAAAAATTTACAGAACTAATCCCAATATACCATCAGCTGGAACTAGGGTTTTGAAATAAGTTTCAGTTCAAAAGGTTTTTCTTCTAAACTTTCACAACATCTACTTCCAGGCTAGCATTTAGGTACTAGCAAAGCGTAAGATGGTAAATTTTCTATAAGAACAGCTTATGGCTGTACCTGCAATCCGAAAAGCAACAAGGATGCTTCCATATTCTTGCAGATTTTCCATCAGCAGAAACCTCCCAAGCCATTTGATTCCTGGGACTCATCGACCAAACTTAACTTTTCAAGAATTATTTTTTCTTGCTTGGCATCTATACATTTAAGTCAAGAATTCAAAATACTTCCCTACGAAATAAATGTGATCATGCATGCAGAAACATTAAAATAACGAAGTGATGGCTTTACTATCTTTTGGTAGAATTCCAATTTGCCGAGTTCCTAAGTAACATTTCAATTAGAGCATCAGAGTTAAATGTATGGCTAAGTGGAAGGACTTTGGCATGTATGGATGCATGTCAGATATTCATCATGAATAATTTATAAAGTAGAGAGTTGGCAAGGATACATTCCTGATCAGGGTTCTCGGTGAAATTAGAGTGCATGGCGTTCCCTATGCTGTCTATAATGGCAGAGATAGTCATGGATGATTCAATGCATAAAATAGCTGCTATGGCATCTAATCTGGTAACCTCATTTCTGAACATAAGCCTTGCATGTGCTGCAACATTGAGAGCATCAAAATCATTATTGTCAACTGGATATAGCTGCAACATTGTGAACAAGATAGCCCAATGGAAAAAGTCAGGCAGATAAGGATGTTGAATCAACATATTCTCTAACATACCTTGAGCAAGGCGTATCAAGCTTTCAAGCATGCGCACCGTTGTTCTTGCTGTGTATTGTCCATTATGGTATGATCAAAGTGAACAAAATAAATGACAATTTTGATCTAGTAGAAAGGATTTCTAAAAGAGGAACCTGCGTTATGTGTGGCTGATCTCCTTTGGAGTTGATAATAACTTGAGATAACCATTTCGGCCTCTTTTGTAAGCATTGGTTTAAAGTGTTTTTTTACGTAGCCAATATACCTGCAAGACATCTACAAAAGCTACAAACTGAAATGATCCAAGGAGACACGTATTGTTGAGTACTTTGCAGTCCAGCATAAATTTGCTTCATATACTACCTAGAAACCCCAACCAATCCCATCCCACGAAAATGGGAAAAGAACAATAATGATAAGAGGGTTGCTAATAGAAGATGTTAAACAAAAGTTTTACAGAGTGATCCAATAGTTCCATGCACAAAAGAAAGATTTACCACCGAAGGTTAGAAAGTGGCCAGATATTTGCTAGATCTTCATCCTGCTTGCCATTTTTGTATTCTCCCTGAAGTTAAAATAAAATTGTGATATTAATATTCAAATCCTTTGTTCTTTTCCAAGGTCAGAGATCTATTCCAATGCCTCTACAAAATTTACAGCTTTAGGAACAAATTACCTCACCCAGAATGTGTGATGATACAACTGCATCCCATTCAGGATTCTTTGTATCCAAGAGGACAAGGACAATATCGAATCTACTTAGTAAGGGACCAGAAAGTGCCGTATTGACGGAGAGAGCTAGATTTGGTTAAGAACAATACAATATAAATAAAACTACGAGAAACACTCAGGGTAGATGGAATGAAACTAGAGATAGAAAAGTCTCGAGGAAAGAATTGTTTAGAAAGCAAAATTTCAATCAAACTAATTCTCTAAATTGAAATGATACGTTGATCAGGATCATAGTGTCCTTTGGGATTTGTTGCACCAAAAACAATTGTCCTGGTACTAAGAGTAGTAACAAGGCCAGCCTGAAAAATAAGAAAGATGCCAAAACTTGTTTAATAGTTTTGTTTATACCAAGAAGCAAGCATATATAGACATTCAAATAATTAAAGAACAAAAGATGGGTGCCAGATAACAAAATTTAAACAATCAAGGAAAATCAACAGCACATGGCAACATTTAGTGTAACTTGGTCAGCAACCTGCCTGTTCCATGTAGGAGGCAATGACATCCATCATTAACTTCATTAAATTCAACTCTCAACTTTCCTAAAGTATTCAAAACGAAACCATAATGTGGGAAGCAAAATTTGGACAAAAATGATATAGGCCCCATGCAAGAAAGTTGATTAACAAGCTTTGCTTCTGGCCCTCCAGAAAGAGGAATTTAACAATCAACCAAAATATTAAGTAGACATAGAAAACAGAAATGAAAGATCTCAAAGAATATTGCAAAGGCTGCATAAACTAATTAATCTTGATAGCTTCCAAGCTAAAATCAGATTTTTATGGTATTATCACGAATATAATGCAGCAAAATATACTATTCCAGATCTTCTCTAACAAGTAAAAGAAAATAAAACATGTGAAGTTGCAAAGACAGCATAGGCACTAGAAGATGGATATGGATATAGTATTGTACAGGGTAAGGATCTTCTCCACGACTTCGCCTTAAGGCTCGGAATGCACATTAAAGTTAATTGAAGATTCAATTTGTTGGAATAAATTGAGTAGGAAGATAAATGAAAATTAACTGAAAAAGGATAAATATTGACCATAAAACAACTCTAAAGTACATGTATCACCCTAGGATAAAGTGGCAAAGATCTCCACTACTTTTTCTACATTTCAAGTAGAACAGAGGATCCTTTTCCCACTGTACAAATCCTCTAGCCTGTCCTACCCCAAAAATAAATAAAAGATAAGGAATTAAACAACTCTAGGATTAATTATGACAGAGTGAAAGGTATTTTGAAAAGACTTTTTAACCAAAATAGTGATCCACATGAATTCGAACTTAAGGTATAGTAATGAATGTGGCAAAAATGCCCTACCTTTGCAACACTTATAGTCTGCTGCTCCATTGCTTCGTGTATAGTTGCCCTATCATGTTCTCTCATACTATATCCCACAGCCCCACCCCCAAAAAAGGAAGAAATACAATAAATAATTATTAAACAAAAAAGAAAATACAAATCAGTTAAAAAATTAGTTCCATAAATACATGAATCATAACCGCCATCAAAAAGCTAATCATGCGGGTGGGCATTGTCTATGTATCATAAAAGGTTAATATGCCTGTGTACGCTTCTTCAGGGCTGCTGTTTAACATGTGTTATCATTTCATTTCGAGTTTGGAAACCAAGTATGTTGCTTTAGGTTGATGCTTTGTTTAGATCCTATTTCTGGCTTGGTCTTTTATCTTGTATATCCTAGTCTTTAACCATTTGGAGTATACAGTACTTATTTTCTATCAATATTACTTGCTATTTTATCGTTCAGAAATATAAAGTTTCTTTGTGAAAGAGAATGTTCTTAAAAGACCAAAGAAAGCAACTTCAGAAGCATATCTCCTATTACATATTCCTCAAGAATATATTCATGTATAAATATTTGTCGGTATCATATGTTGATAGCAATACAACTGTGATGACCTGTGTAATGTATAAGATGAGAAAACCGTTTTGCTCCTAGCAAAGTTCTTAGAACCACCTTTGAACATAGAACAGAAGGGCTTAAATATTGTCGTTAGTTCTTAATCAAATTCCCTTGCTAAAAAGATAAAATAAAAATTCATGATTATTATTTTGAGGGCATACCTATCAAATTCATCAATACAACAAAGACCTCCATCTGCTAGAACAAGGGCCCCAGCTTCTAACATCCACTCCCCTAGTAATATCATAGGTATATTAGCCCTCTAACTAGATGAAACTTACATAAATTTTCAAAAGACAAGCAAAGCCATGAGTGTAAATCCTTGCCCTTCAATAAACATATAAAAGACAATTGTAAGACCATACCAGCTCCTCTTTCCCTAATAAGGTTGCCCTTATGGATGCCATGGAGATGGTTGAATCAAAACTTTATCAGAAAACAAAATGTAAGGAGGTACAAGTTCGTAATAATAATTTAACTGATTTGTTACCTTCAAAGAGACAATTAACTATTTACATATCAGTAATCATTTTTTTCATTATAGAATGATTTTGAGGTAAACAAGTTGAAGAAATGAGCCAAACTGTGTTACAAAAAATCATATGAATATATTTTCATATTCAAGTTCCAGTTTCATTAACCTCCAAAATTAAGCAGTCTGAATGGTTTAATGTACTGTCAACCTTTCTTATATCCTAGTCTCTAGCTCCAACAACTTTCACTCATCTCCTTTCCTGCCATTTATCATTGCCATTAAATTGTTACACCAGACAACAGAATAAAATAATCACATAGAACCTTTTGAAAAGAACAAAAGTGAATTGTGAATTTCGGCCATTGTTTCAATTAGCTCAGGTGCAGAAATATTTTCTGTCCGTTCCACCCGTATTTCATGCCAAGCCTCAAGAATGAATCACATTTTTCCAAGAATCATCTAGTCAAGTTGTGGAACATTTAACACAACCTTTAGGTGATTTGCTGCAAATCTAAAGCATTTATTTATCTTAATTTTATTGTCTCTTGAATTATTTGAGCAATAAAAGGGAAAAGCAATGTATAAGTAGCCAAACTTTCACCATTTTTCATATTCTCAGCTCTAAAAATATCACCCTTGGCTAGTATACATTATACCTCAGCAGTTGTTTAATCCAATTCATGATTATTTTCTTCAAGTTCACCAAATTAATTAAATTACATAATCACATGTACTATTATTTATTATCAACACTAACAGCTTTTCTTAAGGGAATCCAAATTCCAATAAAGGTGACATGAAAGTTACCACCATCCTTGACAGCAGCAACAGTCAGTCCAGCACTAGTGCTTCCCAGGCCAGTTGTGATGACAGATCGGTTGCTTAATTTTGCAGCAAATTTCAAGAACTGAGATTTTCCCGTACCTGTAAAAAAAACTATAATAATTTTACTCTTTACATGACATGAATCCTAGTATTCAAAAAATTCAAAGATTTCACGCACACTCTGAATCTTTTTAAATCGTAGGGAAATTTAAGTTGTTTGTGCGCACTTGAAGGCATGAGTCAGTCCTTGCATATACGCATGGGCAAGTCCATATCTCAACTATTTGGAAAAAGGATTTGACCAGGAACTTCTTAATAATGGTTCGACTTTGGGGACTCATCACCCAGGGGTCTTGAGGATTTAAACAAAAAATGCAGGGGTTTGCAGCCAATTATAATTGTCTAGAACCAAAATATTCAAATCTAGCATATTACATGATACAGCAGGTAAATAATTATAATCCATGATACGATTTAACTGTAGTTTACATAGTACCAAGAAAATACCTTATTCAGTTGCTTTCAAGGAATACGGCTCAATAAAAGAGGCTATCAGTTCAAACATGAAATCGCAGATCAATTTAAAGGCTAAAGAAGTGAATATTTAAGAAAGAACCCCATATCGTAACCTGGGTCACCGACAAGAAGCAAGTGAGACTCTCCTCGAATTTTTGTCCCAGAAGCATCAACATGTTGAACACCTCCAATCAGAGTCAGTGCGACTGAGATCAAGTAAGTAAAAGTTCAGTATGCTGTTTTCCAAAACTTTCATATATGCCTACACATGCATGAATGTGTATCAAGAGAAAATATGGGGTGACAACACCTGCAAGTTTCACGGTGAAGAGTCCAAAAACTTGTGGGCAAATTCCTCGTAGAATAGCATTTCTACCTGGGTTGGCATTAAGATACTTTCACTTATGCAGGAAAAAGTTAAAAAAGTCAATTGATTTTTTTTATAAGAAGAGGAGGCCTCGTTAAAAACCCCCTTCATGATTAATGGAGTGGCAAAAGGTACTCCTTAATCAGCGGAAGGAGGAAAAGAGTGCCTCAAAATTCATTAATAACAGAAAAATGAAAAATACATAATGTTTAAATACAGCCAAGATCACCCCCTTACAATGAATAACCCGAAAAACAAAAAATAAACAACCCACACAAAAACATCCAAACATAAATATCCAAACTAGCCAATGCCAGTCTTTGCTAAACCATCAGCCTCAATATTTGTTGTCCTAGCTACCCATCTAATTACACCCTCCAAGGCTCTTAACCTATCAGCAATGTCCTTAACAATTGTAACATACACACCTGGACATCTATCCATATTCTTAACCCACTCCACTGACAACTTACTATCACTTTCAATAATTTTTTTTTGATCCACAAAATGCATGCATAAAAGCCTAAACATCAACAAGTTCCAAGATGTCGGGTATAATATAATCGTGTTTACTCGGTTATTAAACACGTCCAAAACAAAGGAATCAGCAACGACTTGCCCCCATAATTTGTGGTTTGCTTTGGGCACCAACCTAATATCAACTAATCTTACATTTGAGAGTTTCTTGGTCAACTTTTTTCAAAAAAAGAGCATGAAATTTCAAGGGATCACTGCCCGGGATTTCCCAGAAGCCTCTCGACCGCAGCGTGGACGTTTCCAGCGGTAGCTCGTAGTGCTCTGATATTCTCTTGCGTATCATAGAAACCCATTTCTTGGAGCTCCATCAAGGAAGGAGGACCCGGGCCAGTAGCCTCTTGGAAAGAACCTAGCACCGAACCATCATCATCTCTTAAGATCCCACCTATTCCACTTTTCTTCCAATCACCACTGACTGCTGCATCCACATTCAGTTTAAGAAAGCCCTTTGGAGGAGGAGACCAAGGCAACAGATTGAATAACGTATTTCTGGAAGACGAGCAGAAATCTCCAAGGGAGGGATCACTAATAAGAGAGTTTAGAAATGGAGACATCTTTGAACTTAGATAAGAACCAAGAAGCAAGCCTAAATCTTGCCATGAAAAATAAATCAACTTGATCTAACATTCCCCCCTCAAACACAATGACATTTCTATATTTCCAAATTGTCCAAAGAACAACGCCCGGAATAAAGGACCAAATAAATGAATGAGACACCAAATCTTCCCAAGCTAAAAGAAAATTTTGTGCATTTTCATGAAAAACCGAAATGATTCTCCAAAACTTCATGAACCTATTCCATAGAGTCCACGCAACAGAGAAGGTGAAGAATAAATGTGAGGATGATTCCTTCTCCGTTTTACAAAATGGGCATAAAACGTCCGCAATCCCCGTAACCCCTCTCTTAAGTAATTATGTCTTTACTTACAATTTGAGATGCACAACCTGCCACATAAAAGACTCCACTCTTGGAGGCACCAAACCCCTCCAAAGGTTGTTCTTCCAAAAAAGGATCAGCATTCGAACTAGAGGAGCACGACTTAACACAAGAGTTGACAGAGTAGACACACTCCCCATTTCCTCTCCATATCATACCATACCTCGAATCTTCGGAAAGACTAATTTTATTGATAATAGTCAACAAATCTGACCACTGTACCAGTTCTCAATCACTCAAGTTTCTCCTCAACTGTACATGCCAAAACCAACCTGCTGATCGATACTCACCAAACTCTATTAACTTGCCATTCTGATTTATAGATAGGGCAAACAGTCTAGGGAAAACAACTTTGAATGGAGAATTTGACGCCCAAATGTCATGTCAAAATCGGATGTTCTCGCCATTGCCCACTTGGACTTTAAATAAGCTGCGAAACTTGGAACCAAAAAAAAACTTCTTTAAAATGGTTATTTCACCACTGATTTCCAAAGTCAAGAAGCTTGAGTTGGAGTCTTACTGTTGAACATTAATAAGCTAGTGTCCAAATTGTACTTGCTGCAAATCATCTTCTTCCAAACGGACTCCTTATCATTAGCGAACCTCTAAGACCACTTTCCTAAGAGAGTTTTATTCATAAAATTGAGGTCCAACACACCCAGACCACCATTATTTTTAGCTTTACACACTGTCAACCAATTTACCCAATGAATCTTATTCTTCTCTATTCCTCCTCCCCATAAAAATTTTGCCACGATGGAATTGAGTTTTTTATTCACGGAAGAAGGAATCTTAAATAAGGACATATAATAAGTAGGAAGCGAGCACAAAACCGTCTTTAACAAGACCAATCTCCCTGCCAAAGAAAGGGTTGTTGCCTTCCAACCACAGAACAGACCCGAAGAAACCGCCTTCAGAAGCAATAAGTTAAGAAGTTCCCCAATCAAGTTAAACAATAATGGGGAAAGGGAGCAACCCTGTCTAAGACCCCTTGCCATTGGAAATTCCTCAGAAGGTACCTCATTCACCAAAACTGACACTGAGGCGGTTGTCACACATTTTCTTATCCAACTACACCATTTAGTTCCGAAACCCATCTTCTCCATCACTTTAAAGATAATAGGCCAATCCACCATTTCATAAGCTTTCCTGAAATCCACCTTGAACAAACAACCCTTCAGTCATTTTTTCCTCCAATAGTCAATTCCTTCATTAGCAATAAAAGAGCAATCAAGGATTTGTCAACCAGGAATGAAAGCAAATTGCGAAGAACTGATGATATCATTTATGCAACTTCTCAATCTCCTCGAAAGACACTTCGAAAGAATCTTCGAAAGAATCTTGTACATCCCTCCTACTTAGCTGATAGGTTTGTAATCATCTAAACCACCAATGTTAGAACCTTTCAGGATGAGAGTTATGAAAGTATAATTAACTTCGTGCTCCCAATCTTTCCCCAAGAAAAAATTGTGAAAAAAATTTCAGAATATCTTCTTTTAGGAATGACCAAAACCTTTTGAAGAACACCATATTCAACCCATCAGGCCCTGGAGCTTTATTGCTATCACACGAGTTTAAAGCCTCCCAAATTTCTTCCTTCGAAAACTCCTTTTCTAAAAGAAGGCATTGCTCCAAGGAAATTCTAGAAAAATTCAGCTTAAAATCTTCCACTTCCAAGGTTGAACGAAAATTATAAACTTCGAAAAAGTGTTCTCGGACACTTGCCTTGATAAGAATCGGATCATTGATGATCTCACCTTTAACGTTAAGAGCATTCAAGGAGTTCATCCTCTTTCTAATGGAAGCACAAGTATGGAAAAATCTTGAATTACGGTCTCCATCTTTTACCCATTTCGCTCTTGAATTTTGGAACCAAATTTGCTCCTCAATTTTATAAAGCCTCCACAATTCATTCTCAAGGAAATCAATTCTGCAGCAATTCCACTTCCACTTGAATCTTGCTTCTGCTAAAAATCCTTTTCTAAATTATGAATTTTTCCTTCTAAGTCAAGAATCAAAGCACCTGGAAACTTGTCTCTATTTCCAGACCAGTTTTTAATAGCAGCTTTTGTGCTTCTTAGAATACTCAAAATTCAAACTCTTTTCTGGTTTTTCTTGCACTCTTTAATAGACGAAAACACCAGCTCCTCAAAACCATCCTCATTCATTAAATAATTAAACAACTTGAAAGGTCTCTTACTCCAATTTACTCCACCATTCTCGAGGATAATGGCATTATGATCAGAAATAGACTTAGGAAGTAAAGATTGGATGATATCATGAAAAGCTGTCAAGAAATTAACATTCACCAAGAACCTGTCCAATCTAACAAAAGTAGGAAATTCCCGATTATTGCACCAAGTAAACCTTCCCCCAGATAATGGTAGATCAATTAGGCTGGCTTGGTGAATAAAATGCCTAAAAATCTCCATAGAATTTATGTTTTGAGCTCTACCTTTCTTCTCTTCTTCTGTTAAATAAACATTTAAGTTCCCTCCCACAAATAAAGGTAATCTATGACAATTCATAAACAAACACAGCTCCTCGAAAAAGCTAGCTTTCTCATCCTCCGCGGAAGGCCCATAAACGTTAATAAATCCACCTAAATTGATTTGTTCTAAATTTCCCAAAGATGGCAATGTATCTTCTGTTGATATGATGGTCTTCCACTTTGAAAATGTTGTCATTCCAACAGCTTAAAATACCTCCTGAGGAGCCTTCAGCTGGCGAGTCAACACACCCTTGAAGATTATTCAACCCATTTCTTCTAAAGAATGAACTTGGTAAGTTCTCAACTTTGGTTTCTTGCTGAAATAAAAACGATGGATTATTCTTAGAAACCATTTTTTGGACAGCACATTGTTTCTCATTTTTTTCCCAAACCCCTAACATTCCATGAAACTATAGCTAACTTTGGCATTATAATATAATTATCTAGGAACATAACTCTCCCCCAAAATATCAGCCACCTCATCTAGCCAAACTAATGCCTTTCTCCAAATTCATAATTTTTTCCAGAAAGGCTTTTTTCCCTTCCTTGAAGGATACACCCAGCAACTTGCTTATTTCCCAAGTATCCAGAGCTTCCTCCAACAACATCGAAAAAGCTGAGGAGGATATTGTAAAAATGATAACCTGATCTAAGGCATCCCTTATCAAAGATCTTTTAAATCTCCTGTTGATTTTCTTTTTTATAGAGCCAGAACTATCGCCTTCCGAATAACATCCTTCATCGAGACTGTAATGACCTCTGTACTCTGTTTGTCCCTGAGAATTAAAGTCCACACAACCTTCTCTAGTAAACCCTGCCTCCGGGTTTTCAAATTGACCCGATCGTAAAACTAGAGCCATTTCCTTCTGTTTGCCTATATCCCCCTCTGTTTCAGTAGTTAAACCCTGCTCCTCTCGAAGCCAGATTTTCCTCACCCTAGACCTTCTATATACTCTGTTATAACTGCCCATCCTACTCCTTCCATCCGGGCACTCTTCATGGATAATGAACTTGTTGAACGGTATGACGATCTACCCCTTGAACGATTCTCAGTAAAACCTTCAACAGACCCAATCTTTGCTAAATTCGCTGTTGGAGCCTCTATTCCGACCACTGCTCCCAACTCGCAAGGATTCTTCCCACAGTTGCCTTTGTCCCCTGTGTTACAGGACAAAACCAGATTCTGTTTCTGATCCACAAGCCCGAAACCATTTAATTTAACTGCTAGACCAGCAGGGATAATCTTCAGGATAAGAGAATCAGGCTCACTATTTCCCACTGATTGGGCCTGAGTGCTAATATTTGAACAATCCATATTTCTGATGCCCAGTCCCACATACTCCCCAACATTGCTTCTCCCAAAATCGAGGAACTCTGACACCCCGCTATTAATGTATTTCCCATCCCTGCTTCTCATTGGAAAATGTTGTCCCCCACCAACTCCAACCAACCCGGAAGAAATACCTTGTTCATCCTCGACTAACCGATCAGAACCTTCCTCGTCAGCTGTCTTTCGACTGTCAGCTTCCTCCTCCAACAGTCCTTGCTCAATGTCTCTATCATTGGAATCTTTCTCCGACGTTTTGCTTAGAAAAACACTCGACGTATTAGACACTGATCCCATCTTAATACTCACCTTGAAGGACCTTCCGTACGACCCTAAAGTGATCACGTCCGGGACGTCAAACGGGCTCTCGCCACCCTAACCAGAATTCTCGCCATCAAGAGGTCTTTCCTATTTCTTGTCGAATCCTGAATGCCTTCCACTGTCCCCCACCTCCCAGCTAACCTTTCCAGAAAAGAATCTTGCTAGCACAAAAGTGGGACACCATATAACTCGACCAGGCAATAAGCCATTGGCACGTCATCTTCATTCAGCAAAGGTGCCAACCGGTCGAACCAGAACCATAACTCCTCACTCTTGTTCGTCCATGCCTCCATCATCTCATCAGTCGATTTGAAAGTGACGACACAAGAGTTCCAAACGTATCCCCAACTAGCAATATGAACTTCATAACCCTCCAGAGCTTTCTGTACCAACTCCAGCTCGAAAGAATGTTTGACGATCCCCGTTAGTGACCGTTTCACCCAGCTTGAACTTTCAGAAGGGATATGCATCTCCAAAATATTCTTCTTCCCTCTCACCCTGTCTACACTGTCATTCCTAATCTCCTTGTATTCCAAATCACTCCTCTGCCTTCTGTTCTTCAACAAAGCATCCTTATAGGATCTATCATCCCTTATACTCCTCGGAAGCTCAGCTTTCTCCTTCAGTTTTGCTCTTTCTTCTATATTTGGCCTTGAAGCATCAGTCAATGATCGTTTTGTCCCCACTATCCTTGATCAATTTTTCTGATATTTTGCGGCTCCTACTGATACTTTCCTCCCATCTATCCACGATCCGTTTATATTCTCGATTGCCTTCCTCAAACCTGCCTCATTACCAAACTGCACAAAAGTGAATGTGGAGGATTTGTATTTTGGTTTATTCGTTTCACTTGGAATGAAGACTCTCACTACAAGGCCCTGGAAGAGAAACAATTCCCTCAACGCTCGTCTTGAGACTCTCTTGCTTAGATTACCTACGAAAGCAGTCCAAACCTCATCGGAAGAGGACTGACCTTTCAATTTCTCTCTCTCTACGCCTCTACCTCTCTCACTCATTTTTTTGTTGTCTTTCCCCACTATAAAAGTCAATTGTAAATAATGGAAATAGCTAAACTAAATGTGAATTCATATGAAAAAAAATAAAATAAAACATGCTCCATAAAGGTTTCCAAAAATATAGTAAGAAAATGTTACATGATCATAAAGAAAAATTTTATTACTAGACATGAAATATCTAGAGGACAAATACATGACCAGCTATTCTTACCTTTCAATGGGGTGTCTCTAAAGTCTAACCAGAATTGCTTGAATTTCATACAAACATCGTCAGGAATATCAATGTCTAATTTCAACTCATTAGTTCTCCTAAGATGAGAGAAGTAAATTAAGAAAATTAGCTCCCCGAAACATGAAAACAACAATAATTTAGAACAAATAATTGTTATTAAGGAGATCATAAACCCAAATTAATGTGTTTCTTGATGAGTTACAAACAAACGAAAGGAAGATTTGAGAACATGAAATAGGTTAACATTTACCCTGACGTTATAAGTACATTTCTCATGATTGTTTTATCTTTTGTTATACTCACAGATCATATGGGAAAGATTGAGACTCTGAGTACCATCAATTGACATGCCTTGTATGCAAGGCACTTATATTAATAGATTTTACGAAACACAATCCTATTTACAGAAATAAAATCATTTATCTTCAGCTAACAACGGTTACTAGTACATAGTTTCCAATTTTTAGCTTAATATGTGTGCTAAAATAGGATTCATTTCCAAAGAGATGAGCCATGTTGCCAAGCAGAAACAATATTCAAAATGGAGATCTTTCAATCTCTCATGGAAATACTTAAAAAGGGCAGTGAATAGGGAAGTCGTTCCATGGAAAGGTCTATAACTTGTCATCATTTAGGATTAACTAATTATTTGAGTTTATGTATATATATTATTCAATTGAATTACATGCAGTCAAAATTATAAGAGGTCAGCATCCCCTTTAGTTGATAATCAATTTAGGTCTCAGACCAAGTTACAATGGAAACGACTACATAATCTCAAACGGATATAATGTTTAAGCCTTAAGAATTTTAGATAATCTTCCTTTTCTCTCCAGTTATTTTTACAACAATGATAGCAGCATTAGAGAAAGGGGACAAAATCATGGGTGATTCTTGTTACCTCACATGGTTGGCAATTAATATGGGATCAAGATCACAGCGTACATCTTTTAAATCAGGAGACCACTTAGCAGTCAAGATACCTGTAACGATTACGTCATCTAGAGAGAAAGAGTCATTATTAGCTCTGAGAAATTAGATAGTAAGGAAAACAAAAACAAGTATAAAATTAAAGAAATAAGCAGGATGTATCTAAAATAGATTGTTTGGCATTACATCCAGATATTATAATGAAATGTAAGGCATATTCATGATATAGAAGCAGCAAATGTAAGATATAACATTGTGGTTGTGGTATAGAAGGGACAGGGACAAACAGCGGACATCCATTCCAATAGCTTTTTCTCGAGTAATACCTACTTTCCCAGACTCCTTTATGGTAGGTTTAACCAGAGTCAGCACAGGTTAATGGCTGATCCATGTTTTATCTTATCTGGCAATCTCTGAATTCAGTACAACTAAAAGATATGAGCACTGTCATCATTACAGATATGAGAATCCTGAAATGATTTTTAGGTACGTATGCACCTACCTACATATGATATTTTGAAAATTATATTGAAAAGAAATTATACATTTGCCACCTTGAACAACTGAAACCAAAACAATCCCGTCCAACTCAGGCAATGATTATAGCTAACATAGCCTAAAATGTGGCTTGAGTGCTTCCCCGTGATATTATTATATATTACTAACTGAAGTCAAAAAGACTGTAAACAATGACTGATTCACAAGAGAAGATCCTATCTCAATTCAATGCTGACCAACCCTCTAATTGTCTTTTCCCTTCTTCTTAAAGCATCATGAAAGATTATTAGACTCAATGGGAGATAGAATCGAACTTGTAATCCATGTCTAACTTGTTTTTTTTTTAAAACCCAGTGAATACATAATAGGAAAAAGCATTCCATGGCACCGTAAGCGAAGTTTTCTATTCCATAGCAAGATAAGAGAAGTTCCCATGTGGACAGAATCCAACAAAGGTAATGTTCAGGAAAATTTCAAGAAAAATGGAAGTTATGCCTGTAGTACCTCCAGCTTTAACAATGTCAACAAGATCATCTTGGAGAATTACTAGAATTGAACGAGGGATCACACCAACACCCAACACCTGTGTGCTTTCTTGAATTTTTATTTCCTGATAATCATGACAGACGGTGGTATTTTCTACACAGATGAATTTAGAGCCTTCACAAGGATTGGACCTCTGTTATAAACAAGAAGATCTTTACCAAAACATAATGTGTGACCACACCAAATACAGAAGACAAAATACTTACAACACTAAATTTTAAACTAAGAAAATGAAGAACGAAAGGAACAAAACTCATTCTTGCAACACAAACTAAAGAAAGTTTGAAACTGACAATAAACCTGAGAAGGGCAGACTGAAGGAAGCGTTATCTTGTTTCTTGTTTCAAGTTCAGGATAAAGAGGAAACCTAGAAACATTTTCAATCGAACTAACAGTCAGCATACACCTTGGAATATCACTGGGTTGGCTGCCAACAGTTTTTAACCATCATTCTATAATATGTACTGACCAATGTAGGCCCCAAGGAAATACAAGAGTAGCGTACTCTAGAATAAATAAATGCATATAGCATGAACTAGAAATCAAACCTACATGTGCTTGCATTTCTTGCACTGATATGTCCTTTCCCCCTCATACATCTTCACTGCTCCAGATCGAATTACTGTCCCCTTGAGAGTAAGAAGAATTCCTCGGTGTTTCACCCTCACACACCCAATTCTTGGAAATGTCTCTGTTCCAAATTTAGATTCACCCATCAATCAAACTTTCAAATCAATAAAACAAATATCAAAAGGTGCATATAGGATCCTAGAACACAAGTACGAGCAGACCAGGAAATTCAAGAGGAGAGCCACAGACATTGAAACGAACATGAATGAATTTCTTTTCAACCCCTTTCTCATGTGATACCATGTCTTTCAATACTTTTTTCTGCAAAAAATCACATCAAACGCATCCATATTATAGTTTCACTTTGGATGTGAAAAAATATACAGAAAGATTGAAATTTGCCCATAACAACATCAAGATGCTTTATATCTATATATTTTCCACTTCTTAGTCCAAAGACTATATAAATTGACTCGCATTTTACACCCACTTAAAATTGATGAATATCGGGAGGCTAAAACGGGGGAAAAGTGTATGAACAAAAAATCCATATCCGATTTGGTTCTTAATTCAGGAAACTTATTCTGATGAGCATAAGAATTAATACTTTAGCACATATGTTTGAGTTAGATGAAATTACATGAGCCAAAATTGCGGCTTGGTCAAAGAATCTCAAATAGTCAATTGGGTTGGCGAAAACGAGGCGGGCTAGAGGAGGATCAGCATCCATCAGCTCGGCATAACTACAACATAAAAAGCGAGATAAAAAGGGATGAAAATGAGAAAAAAGACGGAAAAAAAACTTAGAGGGGAAAAAGATGTAGATAGATAGAGGAAGAGAGAAAGTACTCTAGGAAAAGAGCATAGTGAAGTTTAGCGTCAGGAGAGAGAGTGATTGAACGGAGCTGATCGGAATGGCAATGTAACAGATATTCCACTGCCGAAACCAGCCGCATAGGCACCTCCTCTTGCTTTCTCAAATCCATGGCCCTCTGATTGCGGCGAGACGAAACCTAATGGCGGGAAAACGGCTGTAAATACATTAGAGAATAAAAGATAAGTCCACGTCGTGCCGAGGGGTAAGAGATAATACAAAACTTATTTTCATAAGAAAATAGAATACTTATTAAATTAAGAAAAATAAAAATTATAAATCATAGATATATAAAATAAAGATTGATAATGGATAATTCATTTTTCAGTATTAATTAAATCAACATGAATAATGAATAAATATCAAAAATAAAATAAAATTTATTTAACAACAGTTTTTTTCTTTCACTTGAATTCATTTGTTAGTATCAATAGTATATTAAAAACTATCATCACTTGTAAACATAATTATTATAAAATTAAATGTAAATTAATATATATTAGAAATAAATTTAAACGTATATACATTAAATGTTTGCTATTACAAGTAAACAATATGCCTTGGGACGCGCTTGCATCCGGTGTTTCACTCTATGTTCTAAAATGTATGAAAATTCTGTAAGCTTTGGGACAATACTGAATGCTGCTTGCTATACTGCTGCAAATGATCTGAAGACCCTACCATTATGGCTTGCATCCAGTTCGTCTCGGAAAACGAACCTCCTTCGCACTTTAGCCAGAAATGAAGTCTTCAGCTTTTTGTCCCGGAATCTATCAAAGATGATCTGAGTTTTCAGAATCATGCTCAAAATTCATCATCGCCAGCATCAAGTTCTTTAAGGCCCTGACTTGGTGTTTTCAATTTCTGGAAAATTTCGTTGAGAAATTCAGATGGGGAAGCATGGGAAGGCACTTTAGTTCCTTGAGTCTGGCTCAGGGGGATGAAGTTCTTGGCTTCTAAGGTCGACTTGATATTTAAAAGACCAGACTTCATCGATTGCCATTTCGACATTAATCCCCCCGACGGTGATGTCCTTGCACTTTCAGAGTTGTCATAATCAACTGTAATGGATGTGGATTTTTTTTCGGTTGAATTTGAGTTAGATTCTTTTTTCTTCTGGTGTTATCTAATGCCTGAAGATTTTTTGGTGATAGATTCCCTGCTTGTTTCATGTTTAAGCTCTTCTTTCAGAGGTTTAAATTTACCCATCTTTCCAAGTTCAGCTGCACTGTTTGCTCTTGAAACTGCAGCACTCTTATCCTTATGCCCTACAATGCGCATCAGCAAAGTCATTGGCATGATAGCATATTTGAATATAAGATCATACATACTGTTCTATTGCTACCATGTTCTTTGTTGATACGCCTGCCATTTAAATTCCTTGACAGTGGAATAACATGTTCACAGACTTTATACCCTCCTTCAAACATAGCCCGTTCTGGAAAGAGAAATGAAAATATGTACTAATTTTACTTACAGAGGAAAAGTAAGAAATGTCATTGTGCATGCTGCTGATGGCAAATATTTTAGTAGTTACCTTTATGTAAGATTATTAGTCCCGATGGATCAAATCCGTCTGTCCCATCAGCTTCATTTTGGAATCTGAACATCTTCCAGTTTCCAAAATATTTGATAACACGATCGAAGAAGTTTGTCACGAGTAAGAGTGTGTATACAACCATGATAAGGGGATAGATTTTATTGAATCCTTTACCAAAGAAAGGGACAGCATCATCTTTGTTCCCCATTCTCTGCATATAAGTAAGATAGTCAAATATCCTAAAATACGTATCATTATAATTATAAAATTTATGTCCTATTTCTGCATAGATTCCAAGAATAAAACATGGCAAGATTTATGCATCTTAAAAAGATTGTCAAGGGAAAACACTTCGAGACATTAATAAAGATACAACATTACTCCAAGAATTGCACCTTTCTATCAACATCAAGTTTTTAGTGTGCAAAACACAATAAAAAAATCAACGAAATGCCCCATTATCACATGCAACGATACAAGTCCCGGTAGCAGAGACACAATATAAGATTAAGATCTACAAGTAATTTTGCAGAACTGGTGCATGTTATTGAAACATTATCATCTTCAAATGGCCTGATGTTTACAAAAAAAGCACAATAAAATAGAAAATTTACAGACCTTCTCGACAATCGTTTTCCTTTTACCAGGGAGATAAATAAGATTGAGAAAGCTGTAAGAAATTGGTGGAGCATATGGTGCAACCATCCTGACAGATATATCGGAGTGAGCTCAATTACAAATTCTAAACATGAGAGAACAAGTAAAAGTTGCGTTGAAAGAAGAAAAAGGAAGAATTACGAGCATATCATAAGCAAGCTGACTGAGCTTGTTTGTCTCGGTGTCAAGGCGTAGAACATTAGCATTCCAATTTTGAACAAGGAATAATAGGTGCAGACACACATATACATCAGAGGGATAAAAGAAGTCATCTGCAAATCAACATGATCATTTGAAAACACCACCCAAATGTACCATTTATTAACTTAAATATAACGGGGTGATTGATCGGACATCAAGAAGACATTTAAGTAAAAGGCATATTTCTCACTTTCAGTTAGTAGCAATAAGCAAATGAATGATTGAGGCTATAAAGCACTAGTGCTTCCAACTCTTAGTTTTAAATTGATATTAAGGCGTACAAAATGATTTCTGGTTGGTTTCTTCCTTCCATAACAGGGGAATGGGATATATAGAATAAAAGAGTAATAACAAATTGCAAGCCTGATTTCTACAGTACAATTCTGTGTTTTCACACAAGCTTGATGCTTATACCACAAGCAATTTACCCATTTGAGCATCTTAAGAATTAATATCTCAATATATTACCTGCCCAACCAGTTCGTTCTCTCCCACAGACTTTATGAGAATGGAGAAGAGAGAGAAACCAACTCCACTGGGCAGTATGGTAGCCTCTGCTAAGAATATTGCAGCTGACATGTAACCCAGAATCACGGCCAAGAGTCTCTGTAGTTGCTTTCTTAGCAGGCAACGCCAAACAAACCCTGTAAGGCATAACTACATAGTTTAAATATTAATATTACCTGATTTGATGGTAAATATAACTAAATGTATAAAGCAACTTAACAAAGAGCCATTACTGCAAGTTCACAAAAAGTACTCCATTTCATTACTCAGCAGTTCAAATGATTAAGCATCCGATTTATGTCATGAATGACTTCACTTTTCAGCACTATCTTGTGCATAAGAACATTTTGTTGTCACATTACAAACTGGAAAGGGGAAAAAAGAACCACCAAAGATTAAAGAAGATTTATCTACATGATTTATGGATTTCCAGTCTAATAAGAAATCATGTAAAAACTGAAACAGAAATGTAAGCATATAGATGGATAGGTTAAATTTAGCACCCAGAAATTCCCAGAGCGCAATAAAAATTAGAAATATAGATAGCCTCCAAAATCGATAATTACCAACCGTATCAAGAGAAGGCCCTAGTTTTCCAGATCGTTCAGGCTTGAAGCTTGAAACAAATTTCCTGCAACACTTTAAAATGAATCTTTTACGAACTTTTAAGGAAAACATAATGCAAGACTTGAATAGCACATAAAGACAGAAAACTGTGATTTACTTTAGTAACTATAGATTCCACCATCAAATCTTAGATGGATGATGTGAAGAATACAAGAACCTTTATTCAAATTAACTATTCTGTCTAATATTGGCACCTTTAACTAGAAAGTAAGATGCAACAACTCTCAATATCTTAGAACATTTTGAGCCTCATTAATACTCCATCAGATTCAAGGGGAACCATTTGTTGAATATAATTTATTGACAACACGCTCCAACAAGTTTTTTCCATCTTAGTAAAATAACCTGATTTTATTGTTTCATGTCAGATCTCTTTCCTTGACAATCCTCACTGTCATATAAATCGGCTATGTGACAACCCTGTACAGATGATTGGTATCTAATGCTGTTTCTCTACTCAAATTGACAAAAATCAGCAACATGAGATCTTAACTCCTCTCCCTAGCATCAAAGATTATATCCTTAAAGCATTGTTAACATCTTATCGAATACATCAGCTACTTCATGTCCACTTAAATGCTAATGCATAATGATAATAAACAAATCAGAAAATGTCTGAAGTGCATGAATATCACTAATATCTATATATTCTACACTTGGAGTTAAGAGTATGGCTGCTCATTCAAGAATGAACAGCAAAGCATAAAAGAAAGCTGTAGATGCACCTCTCTGTATGTAAAAAAAAGGGCAAATACAAGGTAAGTTCACAGGAAATAAAGGCAGGGAAGAAGGGTTTTAAGACAATCCACTTTGCACAGTTCAGCTCAGCCGACGAATTGGTCCCCGTAGAATAAGCATCTTAAGATAGAACTACTGAACACAGAATTTAAATCTAAAGTTGATGTTTTACAGAGGAAAAAAAAAAGCAAACACACACACACACAAAACACATAATATGCATTGAAGTGTTCTTTAAGTGTAAAGCACAAACCATCCAGTTGCTTCACAGCGCTCATAGTTTTTGACAATGTCTTCCAGTTCGAGAGCTTCCAAGACAAAGCTCATATATTCACTGCAAAAGTATCTGTGTTAACTTTAATTACCACAGGAAAAAAATACACTCGAAGCAGAGTACAACAACAGTATTCACAGTTCTAAACCTTAATGATACCAAAACCATGCTTGATAGAGAAAATACTTGCCTTCTAAAATTAATCTAACATCATTTGATCTGTTTCCTCAAAGTATGGACAACATAAAGAGGTTTCAAAGGGTAAAAATAACAATGATTCTTCTAAAAATAAAGTTTGGCACTCTTCTTCCTCATGTGGAAATTATCTATCAATAAACAAGTTCTTGTGAATTAGATGTTTCTCCCAATAATTGCACACATTTGAACTGTCAATTTCCCAAACAACAATACAAAATAGGTCCACAAAATTGCAAGAAAATTTAAACAAAGTGAGACACGATCAAACAACAGAACTCCATTAATTCTGGCATATACTATATTTGTTAACAACATTATGACATATGCCTTTGATACTGACAGTATTGCTCTCTAGCTATCCTAAGTCGGGGTCTGAGAGATACCATTGATTTCTCATCAGTGTCATAGTCCATATCATTCTCCCCAAACCTCCCACCTTGAGGTTTTGAAGGAAGGATCTTCCTTTAACTGAAAAACAGGAAAAAGGTTGAGTGAAGTATAAAAAGCTCCATTTTGAGACTAAACAGACACACAGACAGAAGTGGTTCCATTTTTTCTAACATGCTGTCAATAATATTCATATACGGTTTTAAAGGATCACGCTTGGTCATCTGATTTGATGTCGCCTGGGTTACCTAATTAAATCCACCTTCATTAGTTCTGAAGGAAAAAAGATAATAACTTGATGTTATCTATAGCAATATGAATTAGAAAATAAACTAATATCAAAGGATGTGAAAATTATATCCCTCATCACAAATCCAAACAAGCAACTAGACTGAAATAACATCCAACCCTGTAAGAACAGAGAAAAGAAGCAGTAGACTAATTTAATGTGGTGCTAAATAGGAAGGCCAAAAAAATAAGAGAACATCAAAATACTAATGATCCTTATGGGGATGTTAACAGGAATGTGACGAGGACCGAGTGTTATAAAGTGAAAACAATATCCTTCCCCTCAAACAATCATCAATAACATATGAATAGGAAACACATTTTGCTCAAACAAAGTTGGTTCAACAATAACTAAATAAAATAAACCACAAAAGACTTTTGAATGTACTTCTTGTTCTTTTTTCTTATATTGAATTTACAAATGGTAGTTATAGATGAACTTGCTACAATAGCATTTGACGATTCTTGATGAGCGCCATCAAGTTTAACAGCCATTTTAGCAACTTTGCCCGAGAGAAGCTTTTGGCGGGTAGTCCAATCTGCATTCTTCCAAATGCCCTTTGGGATTTCACTAAGACCAAAACCAAGAAGAAAGGCACCAGTAACAAGCCCAAAAGTATTGGAGCAAGCCATTGCAAAACCAATAATGCCTCCACTCCTATACCCCCAAAATACAAAAATAAAAAAATAAACAAAGGATGCTATACCAGTCACCATCCAAAACCACAGAAGCGGGTATTTTAATAAAAACATTGTAAAAGAAAAGGGTGTCAAAGTTCACACCCTAATATCAATAAGGTATAGGATGCATACAAATTGATAAATGCATGAACATAAGACAGGTGCCAGCTAAAGGATCTAATTAAACAAAAACGAACCCTCGGGAATACCGATATCATAAATCATTTTAAAACAGGCACTCAAAATGCTAATTTAGCACCTACGACCACAATATCTAAAGGAATAATCATGAGCAGACAAACATGATGAGAAACAAACAGTCAGTCAGAAGCGAGAAAGAGCAATTAGTCAATAAAAATATGAAACAAACCAATTTCTGCAGAAAATCGACAAGTCCAAGCAAACCAACGCAGAGGTAGAAGACTAAGTTTGCATGTATGCTAGTCTTCAATCTTTCTGCCAAAGTGAAATCTCCAGCATCTTAATAACCCTGAATAGTAAGCACCACAATCCTGCTTAGAGAAATAATTTAATGCAGATCGATGAGAATACATGCATCTTTTAATCATGAATCTTCTAAAAACTTTACTTTAGACCCCAACAAAATAATAAACAAAAGATAAAGAAAGTAAAGCAATTAAAAGTAGAAGTATAAAGATATTTCGAAATGCACATAGAAGCTGCAAGAACACTTGGAAATAAGTAGGGGTGGAAAAGTAACATATAATTGGGGGGGGGGACATATTGTGGATTCTTTCGAATTTCATACCATGTTAGCAGAAATGTAATCCAATAACTCAAGCTCCAGAATAAAGATATCTCACTGCTGGAATGGCCCACCATTGTCTGCCAGATGAAGAAAGCAAAAAGAAAAGAAAAGCAAGCAATCTAATATGCATGCATAATTTGCAGGCAATAAATAAGCAAAGCTTAAATAGGAAATCTGAATCAATAAAGAGAAGAGAAGAAAAAAAGAAAGAATTAGGTAGTCCAAGGAAATCACCGTCCAAATATAAGCGGGGACAAGGATGATGACCGAGAAAGAACAAAACCAAGTATATCCAACGGTTAGAAAGACGTAAATGGGAACAGAAGGGCCCGCGAAATATCTCAAAGTGAGAATCACCATCCCCAATGTTAAAGGCAACGAGATCAAATAGAAAACCAGCATCTTTCTTTTTGATACCTTCTTCCTCTTTCTATACACTTTAGATAAACGAATATAGTTTATATGGGGTCTTGGTTCTCGCTGTTGTTTTCCCGGGAAACACTAGTAAAGAGAAAATAAAGGTTGGCTGTGAATAAAACAATTATTTTTCCTCTTTTTAACCCTTTAATTTTAAGGGAACCTAAATTAACGCAGCAATTTGCTAATTGCGGGTCAAGAGGCTCTTTTTATACGTTTTCTGGGGCTTTTCTTTCTCTTTCTTTTTATTTTTTCCAGCCTTTTTCCTCATTCTCATTTTCAAACGAATCCCCGCGCAACATTTAAAAGAGTTGGCTCACCAGTCACCTCAACAAAGTTCTCCGTTTTTCTGATCATCGTCCAATATTCAATGCCAGATTTTCTACCTCTTCCCTGCAAATTCAGTTAATTGAGAAAAATAAAGGAAAAAGTACTTGGGAAGGGAGAGGAAGACTAGCCATGTTAATGGCGGCAACGACTTATGGATCGCCTTTCCATTGACATTGATTTTTTTTTAATTTCCTTAACCAACAAAGGGGAGTTTTGTTTTAACTAAAAAAATCCATTAGTTTTATCATTAAAAGATGAAATATTTCTCCAACAACTAGTTGGTGGATGAGTCACTAAATCCCTTAAGTATAATCATAAGTTCAAATTTTAAAATTTACGAATAAAACAAACTAGATTGAGAGGGTTGTCCTCGCCTCAACTATATAATTCGAACAAATATATATAAAAGAAAAATAAAATTACATTAACATAAAAATGAATGTAAGGTAGATAAACTGTTAATATCATAACTCAATATCCAACTCGAAGATTCAGAATAGAGATATATGAGCATAATAACCAAATAAATATCATCTAAATCTAACAAATTTGGGAGTGATATAAGAGGGAGAAAAGACAGAGAACCGCTAGAACAAATATGGAAGTTGAAAGCTTATACTAAACTATTTTTTGTTAATAAACATGAGCAAACTTGAATCACTTGGCATATGTTCCATTGAACAAATATTTGTTTGGTACAATCAGCGATCAAAGGCCTGCTCAACCGAGTGGCATCAGAGGCCCATATGACCAGACATCGATTACAATGCAAGCTTAGCTAATACAGAAACACAAACATTTGAATCCAGCAGCTTTTACTTTCAAAATGCTTGCTGCCTCTTGTAAACAACAAATTTATTGGAATGCGTAATAACATAAAATTCTGCAAAATTATCATTTCGTACCATACATCACACAGTAAAATCATAAAAGCAGTAATAAACAATGTCACAATCCCATTATAAGCGTACGAGTTCTAATTTCAACTACCTAGTGCATTAGCAAAGGGAGCAATTTCCAATTGATATCTGCCTACCACGAGCCAATTTATACGAACATCATTAACTCGGGTCTACTGTATATGTTGTTCTGCTCACTACTCTGTTCGTCCTCTAGAATAGGATATGCTGCAACAAGAGCATCTTGAGCTCCAATATACAGTGAATTATATATCTTCCAATATACTTCCCTAACCTTCCGAGCAGGATGGAAGAGACCCTGGAGACAATAGTTCAGCACCACTGCAGCACCTAAAGCTACCCTCATCCCTTCAATAGCCTCCGTGACAGCATTGATTACATGAGGGGAAGTCTCAAATATGTTGGGCCAAACATAGTTCAGCAAGTGGACTAAAGCATCCTCGCAACCTAACCCGGCCACACCCAAAGCCATGTGCTTCACAGCTGAGGCTGCAGTTTGCCTGTGAACCAAATCTCTATCCATGAGAGCATCCTCAAGTAATGGAGTCACAGCATAGATGTAATCTTTACCCATTTCACCAATATACTCGAACAGGAAGGAAAGAGATTTCAAGACACCATTCTGCACATTAAGTTCTGGCACACGGTACTCATTCATCAATGCTGGTAAAACTGTGAAAGGAGAACATGTTTCAGCAACAATTGCAATTGCCACAGTAGTACAAACACGGTTCTGGCGTTCTTGTACTTTGAGATTGTTTAATAGAGTAGCCAAGACATCTTGTGGGCCAATGGCTTTAGCAATATATCCAAAAGTATTGACAGTAGCTCTCCGAATACCCTTCTTGTGAGCTTTAAGCATCTCAAGAAGCTCAAAACAAATCCTCATCCACTCCCTAGCTGGTACAAACTCTGCACCTCGATCAGCAATACGACCAACCAGATCAATGCAGTTTTCCTGGACCTTCTCATGCCTATTTTTCAGAATAGGTGTCAACCTTGGAAGCAAATCCTTGATAGGAGGTGTCATTTTTGTCATACCAATAACATTGACAATTGCCTTGAGGGCTCCTAAAATAGATCCCAAAACTTCAGGGTACTCCTCACCCAGATACTCATATAGAACAACCCCAAGATGACCCATCAATTGTTCCTCTTGGCACTGTTTCATAACCACTGCAATTCTTGAAATAAGATCAGCTGCCTGCTGCCTGACCTTGGCACTCTTGTTATTCAAGCGCCATTTTATGGTACCACAGATCTGGGGAAGATAAGGTTTCACTCTCTGTCCCAGTGAATTCACAACAGCACCAAATCCATTAAGCATCACATTGGCATCATCACTAGTCTGCTCTTGGAAAGCATAAAGAATACCATCAATCAAAAGTTCCTCCAACCTGGCATCAATATCAGATGCACCCAAATTTGTAACCACCTTCTCAATTGTTTCCATTACCATACGTCTGTAGGGTTCACTCTCATCCTTCAGATCCTCCACTATTCTCCCTACGATATCAGCAACACCTACTTTATTTGCCATCTCAACAGTTGTCTCCACAAGCTGCCTATAATTTCTCCTATCTAAAGCCATCCTTCTCACCCAGAAATTCCTGAAGAACTCAGGTAGAATATCATTCCTAATGTACTCGGCTTCAACACCCTCAGTGCTCACACATTGCTTCACCACCTTGAGCACAATCTTCTTCATTTCTTCATCAGGAGACTGGAACTCACGGATAAGAATGAACATAACTTCTTTTGTATAGTAACTAGCATAAATAGCATCCATCAAAGGAATGATAAAACCGATGGCCTTCAAAAATGCAGCCAATACTTTACCTCGGTGAGACCTGATACCCTTCCACAATGGTTTTAAAACTGAGTCAAAGCTTTCAATGCCATAGGGCGCAGCAGCCTCAGCAAGAGCAGCCAGAGACAAAGCAGTAATTGTCCTCACCTTCTGATTCTCATCATTCAACCCATGTTCTATGATTTCTACTAGGGACTTTAAATGAGGAAGCACAGCACAGCCTATCAAAATAGCAATCTGCTGAACAATCTTGATCCCAGTATGCCTAGCTTGCCATGACTTCTTACTCTGACACACAGCTTTCAAAAATGGTAGAAGTGCAGGAATCCCAAGTGCAGAAGCAACAACACTAAAAGCTCTAGCAGTTGTATTCCTAACATATTCATCAATGTTGTCAATATCAGGACGCATTGCAGCAATCATAGTAGCCAAACCAGCTGCCTTACTGAGATTAGAAATGATTTCTCTACCCTCCACACGTGCATAATAATCTTCATCAATCAACAAGGGTTCGATCACAACAAGAATCTTGTGTACATAAGGCCTAACCAACTCATCCAATTTATACAGCACCCTGTCAATAACCTTAACCAATAGATGCCTCTCCTGATCTTCCAATGTAGGTTGCATAAGCAACGGCAGAATCCTATTAAATAATGCATTAGCACCAAATTCCCTTGCCTTATCAGTGAGCTGCCTCAGAGCAGTTTTCCTCTGTGGTGGTGTTCCATTCTTTACCTTCAACAAAAGTTTCATGATCTTCCGTTCCTTCTGCTCTTCTGGAGACAGCTCATCCTCATTTTCCTCATTCAATAATGACCCAAAATACTGATAATCCTCAGGCTTCATAAATGGCAACCCACCAGGTGGTTCCTTAGGCACATCAAATTGCTGCCCACGATTCTCCTCGGGTATAGCATAAAGTGGAGTTCCCATAGGAGTTGGAGTAGCAAGAAGCTTTCGAGCAGGTGTCCTAATAGGCACATAAGATGAAGGTGGTTCCAAAATCTTATACCCTTCTTGTGGGAACATAGCATCAAGCTCCTCATCAGTCAATGGCCGATTCCTCTCCTCAATATCCTTCTCCCACCTCAACAAATTATACTGCTCCGGAGTCATAGGCCCACGAAGATTACTTGGAGTTGGTGTTTGCAAATCTGTACCACCAAAAGGAGTAACTCCAGGTGTAAGAGGAACATTTGGTGTAGCCCCTGCCATTGGAGTTGCACTCCCCATGGTTGCAGGAGTCTCGTCCCACCTAGATCTCTGTCGTTTTGGCGTAGGAGTAACCAACCCTTTCGGAGTAGCATCCCATGTAACCCCAGCTGGTGTTGCACCAGGGGTAATTCCACCTGCTGGGGTTCCATCTGAATCAGCCACCCGCCCAGGTGTTGGTGTCTCATCCCACCTATTCCTCCTCCCAACTGATGGAGTCGCATCAGAAACTCTCCCAGGCGTTGGGGTAGCATCCCAACGCCCAATACCAGGAGTTGCATCAGGCAAATCCCAATCAGACGTTTTAGCCTTCTTTGCTGCAGAACTACCGTCATCTTGAGACTGGTCCCATCTATTCCTCCTCTTAGGCACCGCAGCAGCTGTACCACCACTCTCTTTCTCTACCACAGCGGCCTCCTCTTCCTCCTTTTTCTTCTTTGCTATAGCTCTTAAAGTCTCTTCCTTCTCCCTCTTCAATGCCTGCTCTCTCATCACATCAGCATAAGTCCTCACGGAGGGATCCGGAGTCTTCTCCCCGGCCGCAAATGCATCGTGTCTATCCGGAGAAATGACTTGGTTCAACCTCCTCCTCCTATAATCATCTTCACGGTCAATAATTTTCGCGGGTTTCCTAAACCCTAACGAGTTATCATCTTCTTCACCACGGGGCATCTCCTTGAGGAGTGATTTAGGGGCCGTATAAGAGGCGAGCTTCCGAGCAACCTCAGAATCCATGGAATCAAGATTCGCATCATCGTCATCGTTAACAGGGATGGAGGAAACGTAAGCATCCCTGTCTGTTCCGCCGTAAAGATCCCGGTCGAAAGTTAGGGAGGTAAGCGAAGCGAGTTCCTCCTCTTTTCGCCTTCGCTCTTCTTGGGTTTTCGCTATCTCGTTATCAATATCCATAACTAGGGTTTTTCTACAATTTTTTTTAGAGAAGAATCAATAAAAACCTATAACAAAAAATAGAAACGAAAGATGGAATGAAATCAAACACTTAAGATCGAAATGAATAGAACAAAGACTGACCTGAAGGCGTTGATTAATATGGCTATGCAGATCTGTTGCTGTGCCTGTGCAGATTTTGAGCCCCGAGTGATCTTTAGGGATTATTTATATAGCGAGAGAGAGCCGACATGGATACAATCCGAGTTAGAAAACCGGAAAAAAGTCGGTTTGGACTTTGGATCAAGTTAGATTTATGTATGGACCCTGGCCCAATACTACTCTAAAACAATCTTCTAAGCTAGCTTTTAAACAATCCATATGGCTGGAGGTATATTTTTAAAATTAATTAAATTTAGGAATAATTTAATTTAAACTAAATATACATATTTTAAAATTAAATGAATTTAAATTATAATTATTTATAAATGAATAATGAATTAATATTATAATATTATGTCTATACTTTCTATTTTATACTTCGAATTTTGTATATCTTTTCAATTGAATCTAAGTTATTAAATTAAATGAAATTAAACTCAATTATACATTTTAAAAATTATATTATCTTATAGATTATGATTAGATTGTTTTTGGAACTCCAATTCATGTATATACAACTATAGTATTCCTTAAGTTGTAGCCTTTGTCACCATCATTATCTTAGAGTAATGGACTTGCAATTGTTATCTGATACTTGATTGGTACTCGAACAAAAGCATCTTATTGTAAACCCTACATGATGCGTAGAGAGCAAAAACCATTTAGTAGTGCCAAAATTTTCTTTTATTTTCATACCTTTTAAATATCAATATACTTAATTATACAGTAAATATATGATTCATATACAATTTATTATTTTTAAGTAACATGTAATAAATAAGTATTTCTACTTGCAACGATATCTAAAACTTAGATGTTGAAATCATATATATATATATATATATTAAACTATAGTTTAAATTAATTCTAAAATCCAAAATAACCTAGAAATTAAGCCCAAATTTTCCCATTATTTATATATATATATATATATTCTTTCTGCATTTCTTCTTCATCTTCAAACTCTAAAATTCAAAACTGAAAACCTCTTTCGTATTCCCATGTGGATATACGATATTTATTTGATCAGCATATGTAACAAGTAAAAACCAATGGAAAAACAGTTTGAATTTGAACTACAAAATCCCTTCACCACATGTAAACAAGCAGCAGCAGCAGCAATGATAAAACCCATGAATGCCAATTTCACATTCAACTAAAAAACCATCCAAGCAACAGTAGTTTAAAAAACCTAATTTATACCTTCTTTAGATGTGCAAACAAGCTTAGACGAAGCAGACGACAGCTATATGGGCAAAGGACGAACAAAATAAACAGATACAATCATATTCGATAACGTGCACGACGCCATAAGAAAACAAAACTATATATAAAAACCAATCTTATAATCTCAAGAAAACATCTTCCAAAAATTAAGCTTAAGAAACATATCAATCATCAGCTCCCTTATTGTCAAGAAAAGGACTAAGAAAAGAGTGTACATCACCTCACTGAAATTACAAATCTTCAACTCGAAAAGAATAACACGTGAAATACTGATAAACTTTTAGCATTGCTTCCAAGGTTCATAAATCGAAGATTGATCTCCTAAAAACAAATGACTGAAGGGATAATTGGACCAATCAACTTCTCCATACAAAAACAACCAGAGAAGTAATATGCTACCATGAAGATTACCGACTTCACTGTTGCTTCTCATCCTCAGCTTTGGGAGCATCTTTGACCTCATCTGTTCCATCATCCTAAATGGAAGAAAACCGATAATAATTAATAATGATAGATCATCATTCACCATGTGATGGCAGCATACAAAAGTCAATAAAATGAAACATGTGTGGGGTCTAACCTGCATATCCGAGGTCCACAATGCGAGGTTATCACGAATAAGTTGCATTATCAAAGTGCTGTCCTTGTATGAATCCTCTCCAAGGGTATCCAGCTCAGCGATGGCTTCATCAAAAGCCTAAGGAAATAATTCATATGATGAAAGCATGTTGACAAAATAGAATTTGAAGACAAAATGATAAATGAAACTCCAAATGAGAAAGGATTTGTAATACTATTCAAAAGTATATAAACCAAGGACCAATGTTTTCAATGAACAAGATGAACATCGAGACTGAACTAAAATAAAAAAGTTTTGTTATCCTAACTGTTTTGCAAGACTGCAAGCACGATCAGGAGAATTCAAGATCTCATAGTAAAAGACGGAAAAGTTCAGAGCCAATCCTAAACGAATAGGATGAGTTGGGGCTAGCTCAGAGGTCGCAATATCCTGAAAAGAAAACAGAACATAAAGATGTGGATAAAATAAATAAAAGCCGGAAATATGAACAAACCATAAATCAGGTGCACTTTAACATACTCAAAAACCAAATGTAGAAGTGAGGAAAAAAGAATGAAAGAAAAAGAGTAGATCTAAACTGATGTCAAGTATTTAAAAAAACAGTAACACAAGTCTACATAACCAGGAAGTGCATCAATCTGTGGCAAAACTATATAAAAGGCTCAATTAACCGAAGAGCACAATGTTGAACTGTAATACTTGTATCAGTACAAAGCTTAGCAGGAATTTCACATCTTAGGTAGACGGGGCAGATGAGTGACTGTGGTGCAAATATAAACAAAATTTAACTTGGTCCCAATAAGATAATCAACTATGCAAACTTGCATCCCACAAAAAAAAAACTAAACTCAAATCAGATACAGAATCATGAAATATTCGTAGAAAATGTAAACCAAATTCGGAAACAATATCATTGAGACCATTTTCTAGCTAATTTTCATGAATTTTCGATTGCAATTCCGTGTAATGTCTTCAAACGCTTATGTTTCCAAATAAATAAACGTAATTCACAGCAGATCTACCAGGAAACAAACAGCCTATAATGGGAATAACTGAAAATGTAGATCATTAAACTAGATTGCCTCCAAATCAAAATATTCCACAATTAAGCATAAAACAGATTCATAAAAGTACACAGAAATTCAACACGATAAGCATTTAAAATGAAGCGAACACTAAAATAACAAACAAATGCACATGCACAAGACAGGAAAGTAAATTAATGAAATGACCACAAAACTGGGCAGATTTATAAGTATTGAGCGTATTTTCGGCAGCGGCTTTCCTATCGTCACCTGTCTTGAACTCAGCCTAATACCTATGGTAATCTCCTTTCATCTTCAGATAAAAGACCTTGGAATCCCCGTTTCCGGCAGCTGGAACGAGCTTCTCGTCAATAAGATTCAAAATTAAGGCGCCAATGTTGGACAACTCAGACTCGATCTTGGCCCTGTACTCGCGGATGGCGGAGACGTGATCAGCGTTGCCACGCCCTTCCTCCTTCTGCTCGATGGAATAGACAATCCGCCAGGAGGCACGGAGGGCTCCGATCACGTTATTGTAGGCGAAAGAGAGGAGGTTCCGTTCCTCCACAGTGAGTTGGTCGGGGCAGAGACGTCGGAGACGACGTTTTCCATGAACTTGACGCTCGGCTTGCTCGGCGAGCTTCGCCAGGTAGACGTTTTTCTCGTTGAAAAAAGTTTAGAGGCACCTAAATGCTAAAATATATATAATTTAGACAATTCTTTTATATTAGTTTTCAGGGTAATTTATATGTCTAGTATCTCAACTATCATTTTTATTTAATTATTATCATTTAATTTTTTTTAAAATCATACTTAACGTGTCATATTTTTTAACGATAACATGGTAATACTTTATGATATCGTATCAGTATCATCATTAATTTTTTTAATAGTTAGTGACAAAATGAAGCTAAAATTAAAATTATGTATGATTTTAAAAAAAATAATTAATTGACCAAAATAAAACAGAAGTGATAATTAAGATATTAAATATGTAATTTACTTTAATTTTTATTGTACTAATTTATGAATATAATATATATATATATATATTATTTAAATATGATTTAAATAATATTATTTATAGGATGGCACTCTTTTTTATTACGTATGATAAAGATATTTTCAACTAGACATACTTTTACTCCATGCGTATCAGATCTCTCTATTTTAATCAACGATGGAAACTGTGGGTTAAATGATCATATTGATTTTTTTTAAATTTAGGGTCATATTAAGTGTAAAAATAATTTAAGGGTCATATTAATTTTTTTAAAAAAGTTTGAGGGTCTCAATATCATTAAATCTAATTTTAATTGATTTCTTAATTAGGTAGGCCTGTGTCAAGGCCCGTTTAAAACCCGATCGACCCGCATTTGATACGAGATATCATTTTTGTAACCCTAATTGCAGCTTCTCTTATCTCCTCTTGTGCATCTGGGCAGTAGCAGGAGGCAGCTAAAAGTGATCCTAAAATGAAGGTTTGAGAAACCTATTTTGATACCAAAATCTCTCTTTTCCATATGTATTAATTTCAATGCATTTGTTGTTGTGCAGTTCAATATCGCGAATCCGACTATCGGTTGCAAGAAGAAGCTCGAGATCGATGACGATCAGAAGCTTTAAGTTTTATTTTTTAGTTTTAGTTTTGTTCTGTTTGGATTCCTAGAAAGTCGATAGAGAAAAAAAGAAAACGAAAAGAAAAAGGCAACCTTAAGAAATCTAAAGATTGAACTGCTGGTTACATATGACACACTCTTAAAGAGTTAAATTGAGCTTCTGAAATTTCACTTTAATATCCTAGTGTAATTAAAGGTTGCTTTTTTTTATTTACAGTCGAGCATTTTTTGACAAGAGGATCTCCCAAGAGGTTGCTGGAGATGCTTTGGGCGAAGTCTGCAGTTAGATATTTGTTTTCTTAATCTCTTTTGAGATAATGATTGATCTGCTCGAGTTAATTTTTTTCCATTTCTTCTTTTTGTGACAGGAATTAAAGGGATATGTTTTCAAGATCATGGGAGGTTGCGATAAGCAAGGATTTCCAATGAAGCAGGGTGTTCTAACTCTTGATCGTGTTCGTCTCTTGCTTCATAGAGGTGAGAAGCCTGACTGCTGAGCATTTTAAAGTAGAAATTTGAATTATGGACTTGGTAAATATAAACGTGTAGGAGAGAATGCTTTTCAACTGATTTACTTTGTTGTTAAAGTGTCATCCTTGAGAGTAATTCTATGCATTTTCTTGTGTTATTTAATCATTCATTGCTTAGTTTTGTGAACAGAAATTTCTTTATCTATCCCAACGCAATTAGTTAATTGGTACATCCATTCCATCAACTGGTGCTAATTGTTTCTTTCGCTATTGGGCTTTCGAAAAACAACCAATTTGCAGATAAAATCTATGGAATGGAAACCTCCACAGATGATTTAAACGAGTTCCCTATTTCTTTCTCTGTTTTCTCTAATAAAAATCAACTAGCACATGGCACCAACCTCCTTGTCATCTTCCCATATGAATCTGAGCCTATTTTGAGTTGAGAAGTGGGTTCATTAAGTGCATTGACCATAGATCTCAAATCTCTTTATCATGCCTATATATGAGTTACAGGGTCTACTCATATAATATATCAATCCAATTGAGAAAATTGCTGGTTTTTTTCTTGTATCTGTAGGTGCCTTCATTTGCCTATCATTTTGTGCCTTTGCCCTTTCAAAGTTGATTCATTTTTATTGCTTGGACAGGTACCCCGTGTTTTGTGGATATGGAAGACGTAATGGAGAGCACAGAAGGAAGTCTGTACGAGGATGCATTGTTAGGCAAGATCTGTCTGTTTTGAACTTAGTTATAGTGAAGAAGGGTGAGAATGATTTGCCCGGGCTGACTGACACTGAAAAACCAAGGATGAGAGGTCCTAAGAGGGCATCCAAGATTAGAAAGCTCTTTAATCTTTCCAAGGAAGATGATGTCCAGAAGTACGTCAACACATACAAGAGGACATTCACAACAAAATCTGGTAAAGTTGCTTGTTCTTCCTTGACATTTTTCTTTACTAAAGATAGGCAAATGCTATTTGCTTACTGTTCCAGAATACTGTGCTTAATTTGCAGAGTAATAGGTTGAAATTATGTGAGCGTGAGGGCTCCTAATGTGACAGTCATTATATTTTCTCTTATGACTAATCCAAGCTAGTCACTGCCCCCAGCCATAATTGTAGCTCTCTAGCTTCCGACATTGTTAAAATCTGAGTATATGTATTGCATTTTATTGCATTGCATGCTTCCACTCTCCACCCCATAGCAATAATGATGCCGTTTTTTTTTTGGTTTATTCATGCTTGTAGCTGGCAGGAAGTAGGGTATTGTAGATTGGCTCAGGCTTAGGGTTTGGTTTAGAGAATCCAAGCTTGGTGAGAGTACTGATTTCTTTATTGAAACTATTACGAATCAATAACCATTTTTTTTGGTTTGCAAGCAAGAAGGTCAGTAAAGCACCAAAAATCCAGAGGCTTGTAACTCTGTTCACCCTCCGGAGGAAGCATGCTAGAATCGCAGATAAGAAGAAGAGAATTGCTAAGACCAAGGCTGAGGCAGCCGAGTACCAGAAACTGTTTGCTACTCGGTTGGAAGAGCAGTGAGAATGCCGTAGTGAGAGTTAAGCAAAGAGGAGGTCCAAGCTCTCTACTGCCTCTAAGCCTACTGTTGCAGCCTAGATTGCTTTTACCAAGTTTTGATAAACAATGGATCGTTTCGGTACCCATTGCTCAGGCTTTTTGTAGTTTTATGCTGCAATCGTTTTATATAGACGGCTATCGAGTCACTGCTCAATTTTTTCAACCTCATTTTATATGTACGACTTTTGAACTTTTAATAAAACAATGAACTTAAGGGTTAAAAAGAGGGTAGAAGTACCACACTAGTCCCTGTGCAGGTGGCAGAGTGCATTTTTGTCCACTATTGAAGAAATGGACAAAATAGTCCTTATACAATTTGCAATGTACAAATTGGTCCCTCTAAATTTCCATCCATTTTCCCCGTTAAAGCTGATTTGGAGTTTAAATTTCTTGAAATTAATGACGTATATTGATTTGGAATATTCTTTAATCAGATTGCTTAACAAGTGTGTAGATGTTCGTTTTGTCCGGGCTTATAGAATATTAAACAATTTGAATCGAGCCTAACATGATATCTAACCCAACCCGTGTTCAGTTGAATTGTGCCAATAAGATAGGCAGTTTTGAGCAGAAAGGGGGAACGATTTATAGAGAGTGGAGGGTCAGTTTTTAATGGGCAATTAACCACCAGAAACAGGGGGACAACACGGAAAAAAACAAAAAACATGGAGAACTAGAGAGATATATCAGTAGTTCATCACGATCACGAGAGAGGGGGGGAAGCAGAAAATTGGATTAACTATCAGCGATTTTGCAGTATTGAGAGGATACGAAAGGAAATCACAGTGTAATCATATAATTCAAAAATAGATAAAGCAATAAAGGTACATTTTTCCTAAGGGTTCTTCTCCAATTTTCTTAATTTTCCAGTTCGTTCTTTTGTTTTATGCATGTGTGATTGTTTTTAAAATTAAAATTTGAAAGGGACTGGGACTTACTTATACTGCTCGAGCATAAAAAAAAGAGGGAGTCTCGTCGGCTTCATTTGTTCTCTGTGTGGGTTCAGTAGTCAATAAAGAAGTGTGAGATTTAGTTTAATAATACCAAAATAAAGAAAGGAAGCAAGGCAGTATACCTTAGGGTCGAGCAGTAGAGATCAGAGTGTAAGGGTCTCGGGGTTGGGAGTTTAGGTTTGTTTGAGGTTTGCCTAACTGTCAAGATTAGTGACTAGGGTAGATTTAATCTTCATCGGAGCATGCGACGGCCTTGTGTGGTCGTGGGTTCGTAGGAGAGGGTGAGAGGCTCGACGGCGTTCATGGATCGAAGGTAAGTCTAAGGATTTTGGGTCTCGGCTGGAGTTGTGTGTAGCCAAACCCTCGTCGGGTTTAGGTGGTGTTCTCACCGGAGTCGAGCGAGCAGAGAGGGTTGAGAGATGGGGTCAGTTTGGTCTAGTTTTTTTTTTTTACCTATGACCGTTGTGGTAGGGAAGACTTGGGCTGCGTCGGCTTGGCGGCGTTGGAGCTTTCTTGGGTTGTGAAGGCGGTCGTGAGTGAGGAGGAAGGAGAGTTAGAAAGTTGAGAGTGATAGAGATAACGGCGAGGAATTTGTTGGGTTTAGATATTAGGGTTTTGTCTTTAGGTTAGATTTTATTTTAGAATTAGCTAAAACGCCGTCGTTTCAGCCGATACTTTCCTAGTTTTTATTTCTGACCCAATATTCTGCGTGCACTCCATTTCGGTCCCCAAAAATCAGACATTTTCGAGCTTTATTGTTATTTTAATATTGTCTCTTAATTTTAAGCGTTTTACATTTTAGTCCAGTTACATATTAGGGCCATTTTTGCACTGTTTTTATATTGGTTGTGTAATTTATGGAACTTTCATTTTGGTCCTTGAATGAATCTTTTGCGCCTTCTTAATTTGGTCTTCATATTTATGAGCGCTTTTCATTTTAGTCCTGAAATGTTTTTTTGTTTTATTTTTGAAATGTAATTTGTAATTTTGGTTGTTTAACAATTTAGGCACTTAGCATGCATTTTTTTGTTTTAATGGTTAATTCCTACTTTGCATGCTTAGTTTAATTTTATTTTATTCTGATCCTTCATGGTAATTTTGAATATGAAATCGAATTTCTAATAATATGCTTTATTGTATATATTGTTTTATTTTAATGTATGCCAATGTCGTTGTATGCATGTATATACCATATCACCATACTTTATTTTAGACTTAGGTGTTCATTTGAATAAAGGATATTATTTAATTAATTTTTACATGACATTATTTTGCATAATTTGCATGATAGCCTCACGCGCATAACTCGACCTATTACATGATCGGACTAAGGGTAATACCCTTTTAATTTAAAATTGTTGAAGTGGGCAGTCATAACTAATTTGAGGTCTGCTTTTAATGATTTTAAAATAAAAGTGTATCCCGAAAGTGAAACAAAAAAATTGATTCGTCACCTAAAATTTGGGAACGAGAGAAAAAGAAATGTTCGTTTATTTAAATATATCGAGAAAATGTTGTTATATCTTTAAGATCTGGTCTCGATATTTGTAAATAATCGAACATTCTTTATCTTTCTAAAACGACTTGGTAATTTTAATTTAATTATTTTGAGTATTTTTGAATATTGTAAAATTCACTTTTTTGTTGTTTTACGGGATCAAAAATTAAATTAAATTCGAATTTATAAAGTTCATTGCAAAGACGTTAATTAATCGATTAGGTACCGATTTAGGGCGTTGTGGGGGTGCTAATCCTTCCCCACACGTAATCGACTCCCGAACTCATTTTTTGGTAACGCAGACCTCAATTTGTTGTTTTAATTAAAATTAATTTTTATTTAAAATGACAAAATGTTTTTGGGTGTCCAATCACACCCTAATCAAAGATTGGTGGCGACTCTTTGAACCGTATTTTTTTCGATCGTAAAGGAAATCCAAAATTTTTTGAAACGAGAGGTTTTTAAATCGCATTTGTTTTTAAATTAAAAATCAATTGAAAGAGGTAAATTAAAAATTAATGTGGTTTTCAAAATCTCACATTTTTTTCACCCTTCAAGGAAAAATCGTTTCGACAAAGTGCACGTTATAGTGCAGATATATTCTACTTCACATGTTGAAAAGTTTATCATTTTGTCACAGCACCCTGAGATACGTTATGATATCTGATTAATTTTAGGTATTGCTTAACGACTCTAAGGAGAGATATTTTAATGTTGAAAGAAAATTAATTGAGAAGATAATCATATCTCTATTACTTTTAAATGTGTATACATTATTTACTAAAAATGTATTAATTAATAAAATAATTGATAAAATTCCTTTATCATATTTAATTGTTAAGTCAAAATGTATTTCACATTCAATCTGCACATTTTCATTTTTAATTGTAAAACATATCAATTCAATATATTAACAAAATTATTGTTAAAAATTTCGCAAATAAACTTAAAATAGAAAAAATTAAAATATAATAATTTAAAAACAAAATAATAATACACTGACAGTATTATAACTATACAAAAATATAACTAAATAAAAAATATAATAAAGATATAAAAATAAACCAATAATTAAATAATTAAACAAATATGTAAAAATGTATGAAAATTTGTAGTTATACTTACCAAAATATTCTTATAAGATCCAAAAAGTATCATCAACTTTTATATCTTAATTTTTTTTACAAATTTAAATATAATTTTTAGTTCGGAATTAAATCCGTGAAAAGCATGAGCCATTAAACACACCTTTCAAAATTTAAATTTAAATTCAAAATTTTGAAAATATATATTAAATCAGTCGCGTTTTTCTATTTAATTAATTTAATATTTCTTATTGTCGATTAAAACTATTACGTAACATAAAAATATATTTAACTTTTAATAATATTTTTAATCAAATGTGTCTTTATTCTAGTGATAGTCATGATCAGTGAAAACGTATTATTTCAATAATTAATTATTTTTGAATGTTTAATAAATAATTTTTTGAACAAATAAATAATTGTTTAAATGATATTATTTTGGTTAAAAAATGGATAAGGTGGCGGCGAAGCGTAACAATTAGGGTTTAAAATGTGATGGAAATGAAATATCCCTAGCTACAACAGGAGAAAAAGCGTAAACGGCCGTGTTCGATCCTTCGATTTTATTAAAATTTGGAAAGAGACGATGTAGTTATGGCAGTTGAGGAATCCACTGAAGCTGTAATTTTACTATTATTTTTTTCCTTTTGCACTTTTAGTATTGTTGGGTTTTTGCTATTTTTAGTAAACCCTAATTTTGGAAAATTTTGCAGGACCTTCAAGAAAAAAAGGTTAAAAGAGATGGAGGATGAAGCCGCTGCTCTTCGTGAGATGCAAGCTAAGGTTGAGAAGGAGATGGTTTCCGTTCAAGGTACTCTGTTTTTAGTTCCATTTTCTTGCTCAATGTGCTCATTTTCTTATTATTATTTAAAAAAAATTCGTAGCTTTTAGGTTTAAATCAAAGCGTTTGATTGGCGCTCTTTGTTTTCTTCACTCGCGATTTTTTATAAATGGGCTTTTGGTACATAATGTGTGATATCTAGCTAGATGATTGCAAAACTATGTATAAATCCTTTCATTTGCCTTATTATCGACAAAGCTTTCAAATCGAAATCAAATCCCTTGTGGTTTTTTAAAGGTTATGTGATAAATTTCCATATGGTATCTTTTAGGGAACGGCTAGCTGGAATTTTGAATCCTGTGGGTATGTGTGCATCACATAAGATGAATATCTTCTATCTTCTATGCTTTAATATTAGTTGCATGCTCTTCTTTTGTTGCTGGTTTTACTTCTATGCAATAGATCCTACTGCTGCAGCTACGTCTCAGGCTAATCGAGAGGAAGTAGATTCCCGATCAATCTTTGTTGGAAATGTGAGGTCACTTTCCCGAGCTTATTTTTTTTCTCGCCATTGCACTTGTCTGTTATGATATTCTAATGATGCAAATGTATTCACCTCCATTGAATATAGCTAAATATCTATCAATTTGGAGTCATAAGCTACATGGGTAATTCAATGACATGCTAACTTCTGAATCTAAACACGAACAACAAAGTAACCTTCCCCAAATTCAAGGGAACGGTTAAGTTGTGTATCAGGTTGAACTTATCCTATCAATTTCCCAAAAACCCATTTTTCCCATATACATGCTTACAAGTTCTTATTCTAAATAATTAATCCAGGATACACTAATACCAGTAATTAGACCAGTCTTCATAGCCGAACTTAAAATGTATCTGTAACTCAAATCGAGTCAACTAGCTGGACAACTTTACCATACCTAGCCGCATCTTACTGGCTGGCTCTGGGCTCCTGTTTGTGTGACACTGGAGTGGAGGTGCTCTACATGCATGAAGAAACCAACTATGGGATGCTGCATGTTCTTGACATGTTTGTCTTAGTTTAGGCATGGGGAATGAAGAAATAAATTGTCACTTGGAAAGTTAAAATAATTATTCAATAATGAGTTTTTTTTAACTATTTAAAGTTGACTGAATGACAACTTGTTATCCACTCCGATTATGGTTTTAGTTCTGAGTATGATATTTCTATTGTGAAAGAAATTAAGAAAAAGCTGATGCAGAACGATTACACATTGAGGAAAACAAATATTAAGCATGTTTCTGTTTCTAAAACATACATGTTAAGTTCTCATAAAATACTTTCTAATGAAATATTGGCATATGTGCACTTCTTGTTTTCTTCTCTGTATTATGGAAGAATGTAATGGATTTTTCTTTGTGCTTGTTCAAATGATCTTTACCCTATTTTGGTCATGAATGTTGTTGTGGGTGTGGCTGTAATATGGCACTAGCCATGGTCTATGATTGGAATGAACTGGATATACCCTTTTAGGTTCTCTCCTCTTTAAGTTTATCAAGTTGGTATACTCTATGTTAGGTTGTTGTAATTAGATCATTAATCAATTTGTTGGCCCTATCTATCAACATCTTTCATGCGTGAATGCTAATTGCTTGAGGTTTTAACTTTTAACCATTTGCTTAAGTTTAGCTCCTTATAATCACCTGAGTCCACTGCTGTTTAATGTTGCGAACTACGACCTGTTCTGTGGTTGGTCTGCCTTTTCTTAACAAGGTGATTAGTAAGCAGATAATTGTTGCAGCCAGCACAAGTGACATTGTTTGGTGCTTAGTCTCTGTTTTTTTAATTAACAAACTAATAATTACAGCCACTTGTTCCTTATTTTTATCATTTTAATATATTCTGTTCTGCACAGGTCAGTGGCTATATATATAACATTCTGTGAATGCAGGTGGATTATTCGTGTACACCTGAAGAAGTTCAACAGCATTTCCAATCTTGTGGGAATGTAAATAGGGTTACTATTCGTTCAGATAAGTATGGCCAGCCAAAAGGTTATGCTTACGTGGAGTTCCTTGAAGCTGAGGTTGTTCAAGAGGCTCTTCTTTTGAATGAATCTGAACTTCGTGGCAGGCAGTTGAAGGTAAAATTTAGTGTTTTTCCCCACCCTTCCATCTCTCTTTTCAGAAGAAAAAGAACACGGTGGCTTCTTTACTTTTTTCACTTTAAAACCTTTATCTATTAAACTATAGAGAAAATAACCTCAGTGACCAAAAATTCATTATAATATACGATTTTAACCAACTTTTTTTGGATTTGCCAAAATGACCAACTAAATCGCAATGTGATCGATAATTCGCAACGCGATCTCCGGTATCGCAAATCAGTTTCCAGATTCGCAACGCGATTCTGACTATCGCATTGCGATTTCCCAAATTCGCGTTGCGATTTTCCTAATTCACAAAGCGAATACGTAAATCGCAACGCGAATACGTATTCGCGTTGCGATTTACGTAATCGCGTTGCGATTTAGTAAATCGAAACGAGATTCTGACTATCGCAATACTGAATTTCAAATTCGCAACTCGATTTCTGAATTCGCAACAGGTTTTTATTTCGCAACACAAATGTTTTGGGTATATAACTACGCAGCAGCAACAACTCATAACCTAAATCCTTAAATCGCAACTCATTCCATCTTCATCTATCACTCTCTCCGGCAATATCCGTTCCTATATCCAACGACATCCTTCCCCATCCGGCAACAGGTTTTAATTTCGTAGCTAGTTTGTTTAGTAAATTAATTTACAATAATGAAATCATCTAATGTTGATCATGTTTGGATATATTTGTGTGTTTGGAGGGTCATGGGAGAATGTTCATGGTGTTTTACAATATATGCCTTTACCCATGAATATTCAACTAAAATTGTCATTAAAAAAGTTAACTTATAAAACTCTAATGTTACGTGTTGCAAATAAATTGAATTTAGAGCCCTTAAGTGGATTTAGGCTATCTTATCAGAGAAATGATAAAGCTTATTTGTTAACCGACAATGAAGATGTTGAACGATTCATTGCTTACATTAGTGTTTCAAGTGATAATGTTACATTGTATGTTGTTAAACCTAGAAGTAATGAAGTTGGGTTAGTAGCGGGTAGTAATCAACTAAGTTTTTCAACCCCAGTTTATGGTGCTCAAAATTTAATGGTTCCACCACAATTTCATCACCAAGTAAATATTGTTTCACCACATTTCCAATACCAAACACAATCTCAAAACCCACAACCTTTCCCTAATCCAAATCCCAATCAACTTTCAGCACCAAATTCCGGTTTTCGTATTGACCAGTTAGACGATGATGAGCCAACAGAAAAATTTGTGAGTACTAGTCAGTATTTGAAATTTGATCTTGGTCAATACCCGAACTTTGATCTTGGTCAATACTCGGATTTTGATGATTTTTCAGAAGAAGAAACAGACACTGCGTTTAATGATTTTGATATTGGTCAATACCCGAATTTTGATGATGAAACAGCCGTTGCCGAGGAAGATGATGTTGATGATAATGAGGAGGAAGTTACGACTGTAAATGAACATGTTGAACATCCATTCTATAATTCATATAACACTGAAGAAGAAAAAGAAGAAGAAGAAATCCCCAAAGAAAAGTCCCCGAAGAAAATGCCACGGGAGTATAACTGGAATATGCCAGAATTACTTCAGATACCAGAAGAAGAGTTGGTAAAGATAGCAGTTGATTGTTACACAAAAATTATTCGTATCAAGAAAGATGATTGTTTTGATACAAAGGAAGACTTGAAGATAGCTTTGTATACGAAATGTGTAGAAGATAGCTATCAACTAAAAGTTAACAAATCAAGCAAAGATCGTTTCGAAACAAGGTGTATGATTGACAAAAACTGTATGTGGCGTATGATTGCAAAGAGGATAAAAGATTGTGAAATGTTTCAAGTTAGGACTTTTATTGATAAACATACATGTTCAAGAACCCAAGTTTTTCTTCACCATAGACAGGCAAACAAAAAGGTGTTGGGAGGTTTTCTGGCTGAGTTAATGTTTTTGAATGGTAGTATATCGGAGACATGAAATTATGACTGACATGAATGCTTGGTTCAAGATTAGTATCTCATATTCTCAAGCTTGGAGAGCCAAATGTTATGCCTTGGAATTGTTGAGGGGGTCGCCAGAAGCATCGTTTTCCCAACTGCCGGCTTATTGTCACAATTTAAAGCTGAAAAATCCTGTGTCGGTAACTCATATCAAAACAGATAGAAATGAACGCTTTGAGTTGATGTTTATCGCCATTGGTGCTGCGGTTAGTAAATCAATATAATTTTGTTGACTCATTTTTGTTAGTTACATGGATTTCACATTTAAATGTTTATATTTCTTGTGTATATGATTTTGTAGATTCGTTTGTTTATTAATTGCATGCGCCCAGTTATTATAGTTGACGGAACACATTTAAAAGATCGATACCTTGAAGTAAACTTATTAGCAGTAGCCATGAATGCTAACAATGGGATACTGCCAATAGCTTACGGGGTTGGCAAATCTGAAATCTCTGATTCATAGACATGGTTTATGGGGCATCTTAGGGATTACATATGTCCTATTAGCAATCTGACAATCATATCCGATAGGGCAAACTCAATTGACAACGCTCTTAGAATGTGTTTTCCAGATGCTTTTCATGAACTTTGTGGTGTTCATTTGTATAGAAATCTAAAATCAAGGTCTGCTGGTATAAAAAATCACAAATGGATATACTGGAAGGCTGTAAAAGCTTATCGGGAAGTGGATTTTAATAAGCAAATAAACTGTTTAAGACGTGTTTTGCCTCAGTGTGCTCAAACACTAGAAGATGTCGGGTTTGAAAGATGGTCAAGAGTACATTAACTTGGAGCAAGATATGGTTTCATGACGTCTAATAGTGCAGAATCAATCAACGCTCTAAGTCGTTATTCCCGAAAATTACCCATTATTATGTTAATGGAGTTTTTTCGAGCCTCTATTCAACAGTGGTACTACAAGAAAAGAAACCATACATGTATTATTTCTTTAAATTCGTAACTTATCATATATTTTACTAAGTATTATTTATTTAAATTTACAGGAACATTGGAACATCGTGTTATACCATAGACAGAAAAAAAGATAACGAACGTGTTGTGAAGTCAACGTCATGGAGAGTTGAACTATGTTCAAACACTTTGTTTGAAGTATTGGATAATAAATTAAATGGGCTTGTCGATCTAAATGTAAAGACGTGTAGTTGTATGAAATGACAAACATTTGGTTATCCGTGTGGCCATGTTATAAAAGTTTCTATTCATCTAAACCAAGATGATTCAAGCGCATACGCTATGGATTGCTACACTACAGAAGTATATCGACAAACTTATGGCGAGATTGTTTACCCTATTTCACATCCTTCTGAGTGGGATATACCAGATGACTTACAAACAGTTTTGCCACCAGCCATGGACAGAAGACTATCTGGCCGACCAAAAAGTCACGATCGTATACCGTCTAAGGGTGAAGAGAAGAAGAGATCGACATGTAGTCGGTGCAAGCAAAGTGGTCATACAAAGTTTACATGTGGATCACCAGTGCCATCACAATCATCATTTACTCTACCAAAATATGGATCCTAATTAAAATCAAAAGCTCATATGGTGTCAAGCAAAAGGCAATCAAAATCGCAATCATCTTTAAAATCCCAATCACAACCGGCTTCACTTTTTGAGATTGTTAACTTAGGTGATTTTTAAATGCAAACGTTGTATTATGTGGATTTTATGTGTGAACTTTTAACATTTTCAGTTAGGCATGTATTAGTAACTTGAGTTTGAAAATTGCTATGATTTGTTCAGTTGTTATCACTTATTAGGCATTCATTTGACTATCGCAACAAGGAAATGACGTTCGCAATCATCTTATTGTCTATCGCAACGCGGAAATTACTATCGCAACGAGAGAATCGCAATGCAAAATGAAAATCGCAACGCGAAATGAAAATCGCAACGAAAGAATCGCAATGCGAAATGAAAATCGCAACGAGGGAATCGGAAAGCGAAATAAAAATCGCAACGCGAATTTAGTTTCGCGTTGCGATTTTCGTTTCGCATTGCGATTCTCTCGTTGCGATTTTCATTTCGCATTGCGATAGTCATTTTTGCCTTCAACATAATGCAGATTGAAATCAACAAAATCAACCATTACATTTCATTCAATTAAACAAGCACAAATAAGAATTATGTTCACATCAATTAAACAAATCAACTTTTACAAATCATCTTTTACAAATCAATTAAACAATAAAAAAATAAGCAATAATTCTTATTTCCTCATCTACTATTGAATCAACTTTTGCAGCCATACATTATTTTCACGCAGTTCACTTATGAGATTAACCTGCAGAAACCAAACATTTGCTCAAACAACACTTTCTACACATCTAAAACTTACAAACAGTAAATTATTGAATTCTAGGTACTTAACCAAATATTTTACGTATTGTCGTTGCGATTTACGGATACGCATTGCGATTTACGTATTCTCGTTGCGATTTAAAAATACGCGTTGCGATTTAAGTAATCGCGTTGCGATTTACGTAATCGCGTTGCGATTTACGTAATCGCAATGCGATAGTCAAAATCGCGTTGCGAATCTGGAAACTGATTTGCGATACCGGAGATCGCGTTGCGAATTATCGATCGCATTGCGATTTAGTTGGTCATTTTGGCAAATCCAAAAAAAGTTGGTTAAAATCGTATATTATAAGATATTTTTGGTCACTGAGATTATTTTCTCTAAACTATATAAGCATCATGTGCTTTCTCTATATCTTTGTATGTTACTTCTAAGCGGACCAATATACCTGGGATGAAACCATATCATCAACGTAGGTCCAACCCTTTTTATGCAACCCAGGGACCCATTTATGGCTCCATATTTCTTTAATCCCTATGTATATGGGTATGCTAGCAGCTGTGATTCTCCATCTTAATTCATATATACACTTTTGTGCTTTTATTTTCAGTTTTAGCAACCTGAATAAAGGGTGTTAAACTTTGTGTATACTATATTGCAGGAAGGTTCCAAGGTTGAGAATGGCAACACGATACAACCCCTATTATTAAATACCATGGACCATAGTAGTTGTTTCAAATACTTTTGATAATGTGGCTAGTTTATGAGTTTTTTTTTTTACTTGTCAATTTGGTTGATGTGTCAAAACCATGCAAGAATTCTTGTCTGGTTTTTTTGGTGTGAATCATGCAAGATCTTGCACTGCCATGTTGCCTCTCCTGACATTAATGCCTTTTCTTTTATGTTGAGCTGCCCAGTGCCTTGCTTGCAATTTACTGATAACCTACGTGGACGATATGGTTGCCTATAACCAAGATCGTTTTCATTTTTCTCAAGAATTTGTGTTAGTTATTAACTTTATGCTTAGCTCTGTTGATTCATGTAATTGTTCGTAGAAAAATTATATTTAGCATTTGTATATAATCCCGCACCATCCATAACCTATAGCTTTTGTCGGTAAGAAAAATGAAAAAGATTATGACCGGTTTGTGGAGGTATTATACTTTTAAGGCTTAAATGCACTGTTGTCCCTTAAACTATGTATTTTGTATCGAAAAATATTTTTTGGGATGTTTTGCTTCTTAAAGTTTAAATCATTGTCTCGTTTGTTTGTCCTTTTTTTCCCCTCCTTTTAGTATAAGGTATAAAACGATAGTTGACAACAATACTATAGGATATGAGGAATGAAGGTAGTGTTTGATTTCAAAATTAAGAGTTGAGCTGACATTTTATTAAAAATAAAATACAAAATTGTTCAGTTGATATTTAGAGAACTATTTTGCAGAAAATGAAAATGAAAGTGTACAAAAATTTGAAAATTAAGGGAAAATGGATGTTTAACTTTCCTAATGGGAGTAATCAATTCGATATAACTATAAAGAATTGAGTTCTGCAGTAAATGAATTTTTGAATTTGGGGTGGAAAGGGAGGCCAAATTCACTTAGCAAGAAACACATTTGATGGGACATAATTTATAGAACAACTGAGGACGTTAAGACGACATTAACGATTCAAAAGGGAGAAATTTTCGGTTGATTCATTTAAAAGTAGTGGAATTTGTAGTGAAAACTCTTACAAAGATTTAAAAAAAAAGATATAAATGAATTATATATTATAAATTTTTAAAAAATAAATCGAATCGAATTAAGTGATCAAAATGGAAAAAAAACTTATGTTTAGTGATGATTTTGAAAAAAAAATTGGAATGACCAAAATGAAACCGTGAAAATAGGTGAGTGACTAAATATGTAATTTACTCTTACTTTTTAACAGAATTAATTATTTAGGGAAAACAATGTTGTAACATCCAAACTACGAGTTAGTGACTAAATTGTAAAATTTTAGACTTTGGTGATTAAAGTGGAATAGTTGAATAGTTCAATGACTTATCTGGAAATAGTTTATGAATTATTGATAGTAATTATTAAATGAAGTGAAGGGCAAAATAGTCAATTGACATGAAAGATTTTTATTTCCCTTATAAGATAAGGGAAACACACGTGGAATCCATTTTGAGAAATGAGTTTTAACACAATTCTCTCATCTTCATCTTCTTCTTCCTTTCTTCTTCTCCACCGTGAACCAAGGGAGCAAATGTGAATTTTCTGATTTCTTGATTGTTTGTTGATTTTAAGTATGAGTTTTGATCCTTATGTGATACTTAATCTTAAGGAAAACTTAAGTTGTCTTAAAATCAAAATATGAAGAAGTTTTGAAAGATTAAAGAGAATGGGTTTTTAAGTGAATTTCTGGAAAAGAGTTGATAAGTTGAATTTGAAACTAAATTTGACTTGTCATCAACTTAATTAAGAGATATGAAGTGATCGAATTGGATTTAGAGCATCTTGAAAATTGGGTATGATTATTGATTTCCATATAAAAGATGGAATTTTGAGGTTATGTATTGAATGAGTATAAATTAGTTTAAGTATATGTACTTGAGTTAAGAACAGAAAAGGGAATGAAACATGAAGAATTTAAGTTGAAAATGATGAATTTTTGGGCTTAAAATACAATTTCTGGGCAAGGTGCATTAGTACAAATTCAATATGTACTGATACATTCTTAAATGAAGAAACACTGAATGCAATAAGTGTATCGATACACAGGTAGTGTACCGATACATCAGTGAAGGGATGTGTCGATACACTGATGTATCGGTACACTATAGTGTGTATCGATACATTTCAAAGGGAAAATGAAAATTTATCTTTTCCTTTAGTTTAGAAAATGGAAGATTAGAGTATATTGATATGGATCTATGTATTGTTATGTAGATATAGAACGTAATCCCGTTTCGGAACAATTGAAGAATTAGGATCGAATCAAAGCAAGCAAGGCTAAGGTGAGTGTAATTTAATTTGTACTTATATTATTGAACAAACATTGGCTTGGGATGAGCCAGTGATGGAGTTACTATGGTAAGAAGTGACTCCTAAAATGTTATTTGATTTGTGATTCTTATGTGTGCATGAGTACATGAAAATATGTATATGTGTCATATGTTATTATATGTGATATGATTTACATGATTACATGTGTATGCAATAGGTGATGCATGTTATATGATATGATATATGATTCATGTGATATGTGATAGAAGAAAAGACACAAGTGATTACAAGAGAAATGACATGAGTACATGAACATATGTGTTGGGATTTTCGAAAGCTCGAATCGACAATCGAATCGGTTTGCAAAGAGGGTCGAAACTGTTTTTGTGATTAGGGAGTAAGGAGATTGAAAGATAGAAAATTTGCACAGCGATTTATAGTGGTTTGACTTCTCAACCAAGTCTACATCCACTACCTTAGCTCTTCACCAAGGATTTTCCAACAAATTCATTAATTTGTTCTTTCTTTTTCAAGGACAAAGAGATAACCTTTACAACTCCCTAGTTTTTCACGGGATAAACTAAAACCTTTCACTAGCTTTTACATGGGCTTAACTAGAACCTTTCCCCTTTACAAAAGGATAAAAGAAGTAAACAAATAAACCTCTCAAAGGTAGGTGTTTACAAGAATTAAGCTCACAAGAACAAATATTTACAAGAGAAAGGAAAATAAGAATAAAAAGCTCTTCCCTTGTGTTTGATTGCTTGGATAGTTGTTCTCTTCTTTCTTTAAGTGTCCTTAGCTTGTATTTATAGCTTGGAATGTGTTTGAAGTTTTATATAACCGTTGGGGATGTTTTGGAGCTGTTTGGGGATGCTTTTTCTACTAAAAAAGGCTGCCCATAACATGGTGCATCGATACACCATTAAGGTGCATCGGTACACCATTAAGGTGCATCGATACCCCTTCATTAAATTCAAATAAACTAGTTGTTGCATCCTGGGTGTATGGATGCACAGCAGGGTGCATCCATGCACTAATTGCATTCAGTGTTTGAGTGCATGGATGCACAACAGGGTGCATCGATGCACAGTGCATGGATGCACTACAAAGTGCATGGATACACTTTGACACCCTTTAGCATTTTTGCTCAAATCTGAATTTAATGGACTTTGAATTATTTTTAAAACCTTTTTAAAAATTTGAATAAATTTAATTCAAGTCCAAAAATATTTTGCCTTTAAATTTGTTATATCGAAATATAATTCAACAATCTCTCCCTTTTTGATATAACAAAACATTTGAAAAAATGTTTTTTGGCAAAACTCCCCCTTAATAAAATGTTTAATGAAAAAGATATCAATTGTTAACAAAATGATATCAATTGTTACCAATTGTTGGAAAATATATGAAAATGTTAAGCTCCCCCTTTTTCATTAAGAAATTGAATTTTTCAAACCAAACTTCTCCCCTTTTTTATATAAAAAATAATTCAATCTTTGAAGTTCAAAATAACTTTGGAGAGTAAGTAGTAAATTTGACATTTTAAAAATCATTTGAAAAATCAAAGCTCCCCCTCAATAAATGCATTCCAAACAAAATTTAGCTTTTAAGAACTTGACACTTAAACAAAATTGAATTTAAACAAAGAATAACAAACATATTATTAGTACATGAAATTCAATATATCAAAGTCTAAAATACTTTATGCAATACCAATTGTGGAAATTAAGTGCATATGCATAAAGCTTTTCCAAAAATGTAATGCATTTGAAAAAAAATTAATATCAATTGTTAGATAGATATCATTTTCATTTAAACCACGTGCATAAACATTCAAATTTAGGTCAAAATTTTAAAATTTATAAAATCAAAGTATTTGAAAAGTTGATATCAATTGTTAGAGAGATATCATTTGCATTAAAAAAATTTGACCAAAATTTATTATGATGAACTAAAAATTATGAAAAATCATTAAAAATTTAAAATGTTCATCATACCAATTGTTTTCAACATACATGAGATTAAAACAATACATAATTATTTAAAATCAAAACTCGTGCATGCTTAAAATCAAATGAGCAACCAAATAACCAAAATTAATAGCATTAAGCTTAAAGGTTACCCATTTCTTTCTCATGTGTGGCTAGAGCATTTGAACATCTTCACTTTTATCACCATTGCTTCCACACACCTACAAGAGACACTTATTTGGATTTTGGTATCCAAATTGCTTTGGTTCCTTGGACGTTAGTTTCAATGCCCTTTGTTCCTTTCGGAACTTATACTTGCCTAATTTTAAAACGTTTTCCTTTCATCAAAGTACAAGTATGTTCCAAATGACCATGATAATGACAATGTGAGCATTTTGCCATATTTAAACATAAAAGGTTGTTTTTAGAAATTAATTTATTTTCTTTTGTTAAGCTTTCAAGCTTAACTTCTAACTCAAAATTTTTCTTTTCTAAATAATTTATTTTGATTTTTGAAAGCTCTAAATCATTTTTCAAAATTTCATTTTGATTTTCAAAATCAACTCTAGCTTTCAAAATCGATTTATTTTCAATTTTAAGTTTTGAAATTAATTTCGTATATTTGGAATTTATAGTCTTAAATCCCAAATACAACCTATTATAAGCATCTTGTAACTCATCAAAAGTAAATGAATTAAATTCATTTGAGTTAGAAGATACCTTGAATTCTTCTTGAGTGGCCATGAGGCATAGGTTGACTACTTCATCTTCATCATTGGAATCATCTTCATCGCTCCAAGATGCAACAAATGCCTTCTTTCCCTTTTTCTTTAAAAGATGACATTTATACTTGACATGCCCCTTTCTTTGACAATTGAAGCACATCGGGGGGGACTCTTCTTCTTGGTTGATTCATGTTTCACTTCCTTGGAAATCAT